GTAAGAATTCATAAAATTAATCACTTCGATGAATTTCCTCCCTCTGCACAGACGTATCATGGGGGGGGAGGACTTCGGGCTGTAGCTCCCTCCTCCCCCCTCCAAGTGGTAAAATATAACCATGTTTTACAGAAAAATATATTAAAAACTATATCTTAAAGTATTATTGTTCGTGTAATTACATTTAATAGGACTTCAAGAATAACTTAAACACCATGTCATATAGGTAGTTAGTTTCTTTTTTCAAATTAATTATCGTCTTATATATATATATATATATATGAAAAAAAAGGTTATCGGCTGAAGCTCTCCCACCCCTCCCCTATATTGTAATTCCTTAATTATTGGGCTCAGGTCACTCTTAGAAACAAATATGGGCTATGAAAAAAAATAATAATTTTTTTGTCCCCCTCCCCTCCTGTTTTGATTTGTTAATTACGTACGACACAATATATTTATTGTTATTATTATATATATATAGTGTTAACAGGAGGATAAATGATACCTTCCCTACAGGTACAGTTTTACCTGCCCTTCTTTGAATCACAAGCGAATCTACGATGGGGCTCTCATGCTGAAGCCCCCAAAATGGTAAAATATAACTATATTTTATGAAAAAAAAAATTTCTAAAAGTATTATTGTTCGTCTTATTACATTTAATAGGGCTTAAAGAATCAATTAAGCACCGTTTCATATAGGTACTTAGTTTCTTTCTGTCTACCAAAGTAATTATTGTAATATATTTTTACTTTAAATATCTTTATTGAGTATTATAACAATCTGTCTGTTGGACATTGGTTATAGTGAGGTAGGATGACATTCACACCATATGTACAAAAAAAATAAAATAAATAGAACAAAATAATAATCAAAAGTATATACAATAGACAATAAAATAAAATAACCTAAAAAATAAGAAAATTAAAACTAAGGAAAAAAAAAAAAAAAAAAAAAAACACATGCATACCTATATACAATCAGGCGAGGGAACTCCAGGAGAACCCTGCGCTACTCTCCCAACCGCGTCACTGGTACTAAAGCCAGCGGAGATTGGTCGAGAGCACAAATTTGTAAATTTGTAAATTGTAATATATACATAAAAAAAAAAATCTTTCGGGCTGAAGCCTTTCCCCTCCCATAATGTTATTGTTTCACAAGATTCAATTATCCTTCTTCGTAAGGACATAAGGTCATTGACCTAGCTTGCATAGACTTTCTGGTTAATGTCATCCAAAACAAAAAATTCCAGAAGTGTCAGGTCTGGAAAGCGTGCAGGCCAAGCCACTGGTCCTGCACGGCCAATTCATTAATTGGGATAATTAACTTTCAGCCATTGGCGAGGATCTCTTCTTTAATGTGCAGGACAACCGCCATCAACATGTCCCTTCGCAGTTGTAGTGGAACATGTTCAACTAAATCATAGAAATCATTATTAAAAAATTTCAGAAATGTGCCCGCATTGAGTCGAAGCAGCAAGAAATGCGGACCTGTTAAAATATTTAATATGAATGTTAATGTTTACATTTAATTAATAAAGTAGATAGAACAAATAAATAGATTTTATTTATTTTATATAACGTAAATAATTCATAACAACGAAGACCTTTAGGTGTGAATATCTCCTAAACAAAGCGTTTGCGGACATACCTTCACAGGAATTTTTTTTTCTTGTTTTGAGGTTCTTTGTTCATTATTTGCAGTTTGGCCACTTAACCCTGAAATATCCTGTATACATAAAAAAAGTCGTTTGGGTTGAAGCCCCCCAAAATTAAATCCTGGATCCGTTAGTGCTACGAATGACCACATTGGCTGTACCATTTAATCCTCTTTGCTTCAACCCGGCTGGATTACGAAATGTGTTTGAGTATTTTTATTTATTTTGCCGTAGCCTGTTGTTGCAATATTGATTGATTGGTGACTCAATCCCTACTTTATTATTATAATGAGGATTGAGGGGGCGGGGAAAACCCAGCTTCCGAGCTCATAGTCATCCTGTGTCATCTCTGAATAATTTAAATAATAAACAAGAATAAAAGTCACCATTTTCATCAACAAAGGAATTCATTTTTAAAATATATTCTTTGGGTTATTCTCTAATATTATTTTGTTTTGTTCATAACTTTTTACTCTCAGTTACCTATTTATGCAATATACAGTAAGGGTAAGTATTGCGATCATGAAAATTTTCGAGTGTGAGTTTTCAACGGAAATTCATGTTTTGAGGTCTCCTGAGTCCAAATAACCAAGTATCGCAAAATTGTCTGTGTGGGTGTGTATGTATGTTATCAGTTTAATTCATAAAAGTCGTATGAAAGTAACATTGCATATTTAGGATTTTTAACGGCAAACCGGAAGCGAAATTTAGATAATCGATGTGACAGATTTTTACGATTTTCTCAAAAATGGCTTTAACGATTTTGATTAGACTCAGTATATCAGTGTATTATTAAGCAATTTTTTTTTTTAACTTGTATGTTGTATGTTGTATGTTGAAATTATTACAATCTGTCTCAAAGGACATTTATAATAGTGTTCGGAAATCACATTCACACTGTATGTACAATAAAAAAGTTATACGGAAAAATAATATATTTACAATAAATAAGGATAAAATAACCTAAAACTAAATAAATAAAAAGAACACATACATACCTATGTACACTATTTACAATCAGGCGAGAGAACTCCGAGCCAGACTTGTCCCTTCAACTGTGAAAGGAAAAGCATGACTCCAGGAGATCTCTGCACTTCTCTTTCAACCGCGTCACTGGGACTAAACCCAGTGGAGATTGAGCAAGAGTGATTTAGCCACATACTATCATGTCGTGAGTGGATAATCTGGCCATTGTCAGAACTCCTATATTTACAAAGGCAGTTTTTAATATAATGTAGGTTTTATTCTCATTTATGTTCTCTATAAGGGTTTAAATAGCTAATTTTCAATATTGGCTTCCTCTAAAGTACCTTTATTTATTTATTTTTTTTTTAAATAATTAACCATTTCTTATTAATCTTTGATATAAAAAATATTTAAATATAAAATATGAAAGAATTAGATAATCAACTAAAGGAGAAATAAGAGATCGTTACGGATAATAGTTGTAATAGAGAAATCAAAGGAATACGAGCTCACCCGAACTCCTCCGAAAGATTACAACAGGTTTCCATAAGCAACGTGAGCTTCATATAATATGGTCTCCGACAATATTATGTTCATATACTTATACGGTTTTCATAAATGTTATCGCTGGTGTTATTTAATATTTAATTGTATATAATACACACATATAAAAATTGAAATGTTTTTAACATGCATAAGGGCATTTAAACAAATAAAAATACTCACTATGAATTGTAAATAAATATAGCATCAATAATTTTATTCTGGGACTCCTAAGAATAATAACAGTGTTACAAATTTATGGGTATTAGTCTGGCTTAGAATAATAAAAAATACAAACTAATTAACTGCTTATTGTTATTGCAATTGTGCAGTAGTTGAAATTAAACAGTATATAGATACAAGTAATTTTACATGTTAGCGGAAGTTTGAATGTGGAGTAGGTGGTGGAACAGGAGTTGTTTGAAAGAATTTGTGGACGAGGAATGACGTATGGAGGTAGCAAGAGGTTGGTATTTCTGCTAAGAAGAGAGTGGTAAGTGAAAGTCGTGTGATGCGCCCACCTGATTTTCAGCAGTCTCACTAATTTTTTCGGCCGCCATTTTGAGAAATCTGGCTTGGTAAGATAATTCACATTTGATCCTGGCTTGAAATCTCCAAAAATATTTATGTTTGGTTTTCGATCAGGTTTCAGGACGACCGTTCCAGTGTAGCTACATTTGGGAGCAATTACCTGTGAAATATTTCTAAGAGTCAGACACGAATTGATTAACTAAACCAAATTTTTCGAAAGGAATCAGTGCAAAAAAAATTGCTTTGGTTTTGTTTTAGGTTGCACAAGGGAAATGACCAGTTTTGCAAAGGTGACGAATTAGCGCCTCCAGATCGGCCTGGACAACGACCCCGGGTGACAGCTCCATTTCCTCTCTCCTTTCCAAATCCAGGTCGATCGGTGGCGATCGTTCATGCTTCCGCTTGCAAATCCTCTCTGCCAATTAGATATCTTGTCATTTCTTAATAAATAGCCCAGAATCACAAGATTTAGTTTGCTTTCGTTTCGATTTTTTAACTTTTTTTTTCGTATCATTATTTCATCTGTCGGAAAAGAAACATTCTATCAGATAATATGGTATTATATCGTCGAGACTATGTTAAAGTAACAATTACCGAAATATTAATTTAACTTTTACTTGTCATACCTCAAACGACAAGAAACCGCTCGACGTTTCCGATTACTTCAGCACTTACTAGACAAACGCTCTAAACTTCCAATTAATTACAAAAGACTCACATACATGACTATAATAAGGCCTATTCGGAATTACGGAGTTGAGCTATGGGGCTCCACTAAACCATCGAATTCCTCTCGTATTCAGTCCTTACAATATAAAATCCTTCGTAAAATCGTCAACGCTCCTTACTTTGTCACAAATAAAAACATCCATAAAGATCTTAATGCTCCTTATGTTTCCGATTTGACTCAATCCAGATACCTATCCTTCCATAATAAACTTCAGAATCATTCCAACCCTCTCGCTTCTAACCTTGCTTCCTCTTCAATTATATTTTTTATTATTTTTTCTTTTATTACCTAGTTTAAATTATGTTTCCATGATACATGCATTTGGAACTCACCTATTCGAAATGTTGACAGGTTTAATCTCTTTTAAAACTATCTCTTGCCGCTTTTTAGGTTGGGGTCTGCGATTTTTTTTCATTACAAATTTTAACGAAAATCTCATTTTTTACTAGCTGTAATTAAAAAGTTATAATTGATTGGTTGACCTTCGATCATCTCCGAAACATCGATTCTTTCACGAAGTGGTTTTTACTCCTTCGTCGGCTGAGCTGTTCACTTGCAGATCTCCACGCCGCACGATGCCGCCGCACGTGCCGGCCGCATCAAGTGCGATAATTTCAATTGCACTAAGTGAGGAACCTTTTAGGAGAGCGAATGCAGCGCGTGCGGCGTGGGATGCGGCGGCTACGTGCTGGGCCGTTCCATCATCGCTCCCGGGACCAGCTAATTCGCAGTTCTTTCCATCATCGCCTCATCGCATCCTCAAACATGTTTTTCGCGATTATCCGCCATTGTTCTCTGATCGGATGCCGCCGCGCTCGACCTACCTTCGCAAGGGGTGGGGTACAGTTGTGGGGTGCTGCCCCAGCTACAAGCTCTCCGAGGGCTCAATAGCATACATGTTTTGCAAGAATAACATGTATAATAACATTCTTTTATCAGACAAGTTCGCGATTGTTTTTTAAAATTGGTGTTTTATTTATTTATCTTCAATAATATTTCCAGCCCTAACTTCACTAATTGAAGAGGCTCTAGAACAGGAAGATCTTTAAATTAAATAAAAACCTTATTGTAAGCAAATAAGTATTTTTTTTGTAATTTGGGTAACTGTATTTTTTTTTCTGTTGGTATTACAGACCATCAATTTCAAGGGGAATTGATTGATGACTGGACCCTTGAAATTGATGACTGGACGCTAAATGTCAGCCAGCAGTTCAAGTACCTCGGATACTGGCTATCTTCAAAGGGTGGTAGTGAGGTTGATATCGAACATAAAATAAATAATGGGAAAAGAATAATAAGTTCGATTAATTCAACCCTATGGAGTAAAGAGATACGATTAGAAACTAAAAAGAAGATATACCATTCCTGTGTAGAAAGCGTAGCCACTTACGGATCAGAAGTCTGGACACTGACAAAAAAGATGGAAAATAAGCTGCTTTCCATGGAAATGACTTTCTGGAGAAGAAGCTGTGGCATATCCAGAATCGAGCGGATCCCAAACGCAGCTATTAGAGACAAGGTCGGATGTCAAAAGAACATCCTACACCTGATCGGGACCAAACGGTTAAAGTGGTATGGCCACTTAATGCGGATGGATGAGAACCGCTGGCCAAAGAAAATCTATAACTATATGCCACCTGAAAGAAGGAAGCGTGGAAGGCCAAAGAAGAAATGGACAGAGGACGTGGAAGAAAGCATGGCAGCCAGAGGGCTTCGTGAGGGAGATTGGATGGACAGGGAGCAGTGGCTTTTGGGTGTTGGGGATATGATTCCTTAAGTTGTGCAAAACCCAAATAAAAAAAATAAAAAATTACAGACCATGTAGATCTTTTGCCACCTTAACAAGCCTGCTCCATCTCTGCCTGCCTTGGGATATTTCTTTCCATTTATCTGCACGCATCTCTATTGCATCTTTGATTCTATCTATCCATTTGCTTTTTGGCCTTCCACGTGTTGTTTTGCCTTCTATTGAGGCATTGTTACATAGAGGCTTCCAGATGGATTGCTACTAGCTACATGCCCCGCCCATCTTAACCTCCGTGCCTTCTTATCATGGGATATTGATTGACCAGTTTCTGTAAAAAGTTCTTTATTAGTCTTTCTTCTCCGTGTGTTAGTACTCTGATACAAGATCGCTTCGGGTGCTGGTTAGTGTCGAGGTCTCACGGCCATATATTAGAACTGTCTTTACCATAGCATTGTACACGCTTAATTTGAGATTTTTCGGTATTTCAATACCTTTGAAAGAGAGAAGAAAGCTCTGTTTGCGCTAGTTATATGCTGGTCTATTTCTGCCCGTTGATCATTCGTTTAGGTTATTGTGGAGGCAATAAGACAGGCAGAGATTGGGCAGGCTTGTTATGGCGGCAAAAGATCTACATGGTCTGTATTGCCAACAGAATATATATATATATATATATATATGTATTTCACTTATTTCCTTTTACTCCATGAAACTATTTTAAGGTAGGAATAGATCTTCACATAGACCTAGACATATTTTGTGAGACTTGGTTTTTTGAATTCAGGGAACATTAAAACCTGTATACAGATTGAAAATTCGGATTCGAAATTTTTAACTCTCGCAATACTTCCTCCTGCTACATGTTACTTTCAAGTGCGTGTGTTAAGGAATGTACTTATTGAAGATAGTTATGTGCCTGAATTGATTGCAGAAGTGCTTTTTCCTAGCTTCCTCTAATGATTAACCTTATCTTATCTTATCAGTGTACAATTTAACCGTGTTTAAGATCAGCTGAGTCTTATCTCCAAAGTAATAGCCTGCCAGGTCTTAAATGCCTAATTTTTAAAATTTCCTTTTCTAAAGTACTTTAATTTTTGTTTAATCAAATAATTTATTTGAAATAATTAACTGTCTGTAATTATTAGTATATTAGTATAATATATTTAATTTAGGATAATAGTTGATGTAATATTCATAAAATTAAATTGTTTACATTAAATTAATTTCTTTGTAGAGGAGTTGGTTGGGATGTGCAGTCACTAGTAAAATGATAAAAATAAATAAGTTGTATTTATTTTTGCCGACGTTTCGCTCCAAAATTTAAGGCTTCATCAGGGCTAAGGAAAGACAAGATAACAATAAATATGAGAAAATAGTAACAGTAGAAAATAATGATGTGTAGGTGTTAAAGGTATAATAACCTAAGTGAGAAAATTTCGACTCGTAAATTATGCTTTTATTTATAATTAATAAATCAAATCGTGATTAATTTTGATTAATTCGGTTGTGCAGTACTTTGATTAAATTGGTCGAGCCAGATTGTAGTTCAATCAGGAGTAGGAAAGGAATGAGGAAAACACTGCAAGCCAGCTGGTTCTGGTTTATTCACTCATTATGACTCATCTCTAGAACTGATCATTCCCTCGTTTTACATTTTACACCTTATGGCTTAATATGTACAAAATAAATAAAACTTTGTCAATAAGAAAACATTAAATTGTTTCATAATAAATCTAATGAGCCAGTGCGAATATGAAGCCTGAGTTCGGACAAAACCAACCATCGGTACCTCATTGATGATGATTGTGGTATTGGTACCCAATACCACAATCATAACCTGCGAGATCAGAATCCACTAACACCAACCCATGATCCACTAACATATTAGTAAATCATTTTTTTTTTTTTTTTTTTAGAGTGAATTCAATTTTTTTATTGATGCCGCGAGTTAAGGCGCCTGCAAATTTTTTATAAAAAGTGTTAGTCCGTGGTACAGACCAATTTTTGTCAAATTATTAACATCCAGCTGAAGCTTCGTAAATAGCTTCATCTCATCGTAACCTGCAAATATTTTATTTACGAAAATTCTCGGAATTGGGACGTTTTCAATCTGGAGATCGGCAAACTTTGTCTATTTAATTAGATACTAAAAACTCGTAAATACCCATTTTTCCCACTTTAATCGTAAGATAACTTGAGCACAAAGTGTTTATGAGTTTATAGTACTTAATTAATTAGAAAAAGTTTGCCGACATCCAGATTGAAAACTCCCCAATTCCGAGAATGTTTGTAAATAAAATATTTGTAGGTTACGAAGAGATGAAGCAATTTACGAGGTTCGAGCCGGATGTTAATAATTTGATAAATTGGGGCCTGTACCACGGACTAGGTTCAAATCCCGTTCGCGGGAATTAATGAGACACACAAAAAATTAGTAATAAATTAAAATAATTAACTACAGGCCTCCTGCTCGACTACTTAGTAGACCACAATTGCGCGGGTTCGATTTTCCCATGGAGAAATTAACGCGTCCCCATCCTGAAATTCATAGGGAGGTGAGCCACCCCTGTGTCTTAAACCATAGCTCCTAGTTCTCCAGGTTGGGGATTGGGTTTAGGGCTGATAATCCCCTATCTCATAAAAACTAGGTGGAAGATTGAAGCAAAAGAGTGCCAACCATCCTACAAGAATATTCCTGATGAAGAGGGAATGAAATGTGATGGCGTCTGGTTAGCCAACTACGTGTTCCCTGTATATCTCGAAGGAGAGAGAACGAAACGATCTCTACTGTCGCCTATAGCAGCTCACAAGCTGCTGAAGAAGACTCGTGGCTTAAAAAGTCGAAGTCAACAGATAAGCGTAGGTTATTCACACTATGTACAATAAGTAGAAACAAAATAATAATACCCAAAATAAATGTATTTAAACTAAAAGAAACTAATCAAAATAAAGATTTAAATACACACACGCTTTTATACAATATTTACAAAATACATTCACTTAAGATTTCCGAACCAAGCCTTTTCTCCCACTCGTGGAGGGAAAGGCATGACTCTAGGAGATCCCAGTGCCTCTCACTCAGCCGCATTATTAATAAGTAAATAATGAACGTCAAAAGCAGTGTTGTTCAACACTTTTAGAACGGTGGTTCAGTAATGAAATAAAACTGCTTTGTTGTATTAAATCAGTTTTGGAACTAATCAACTGCTAATCTCTCGATGGCTGGCAATTTGTTATGAAGTTTAAAGCGATTTTCAATATGTCTACGCTATCAGTACTTATTCTCGTCTAGAATCTGCTATAAGCAATCATAGATTTCTTTTCCAACTCTCGATGGACTTAGGCGAACGTGATATCAAAAGAAACCGAATTTCATGAAGAAATGACATACATCAATTCGAAAGGTATAATTAACCTTAATTAATGTGGAGGCAGAATTTGATGTTCTTCAACTTTTATGCTGCGAGCTATTTCTCTTAGAGGGCTTATTTCCAAGCTACAAAGCCTTTTATAGTAATTTGTATCGGTTTTTGACCGATCTGTTAAAAATCAGGGTTTGTTGAGCGTTATTTTCAGTCGAAGCACTTAACCAAATTATTAAATGTAAGTACTCATTCGACCAATAACTTGACGTGCTTTAATTTTTTTTAAGAATTTTTTTTTTCGCTTGAATGCATCGTTTAAGAGAACTGTAAAAAGTTTTACAATTTGAATCCATGTATACCATATATTTAAACAACTAAAAACTTATCCAACATTTTTTGCAACTTAATCCCCTTTTCAATCGTCAAGTTGCAGATTTTATATTCTTTAAATCAGCCGCCATTTTTTAAAGCAGTGGCTCGTGGATGACAGATAAGGTTCATTTTACTTGGGATAATAACACGCACTTTCATAGTTTACTTAAAAACCTTCCCCTGAAATGAGAACTCATTTTAGGTCCTGGCTCATGATCTAGACCGTAGAAGGAATACTAAACTGCCTCCGACAAAGCAGGGCTATCCTCTTCAGTAATTTTGTGTCCTTTATCCAGGACCTTAGTTCTTGTTGCTCCTGTAGACACTCTGCTCCTTCCCCTCATCCCCCCGCATGTACCGCACGAATGATATCTTCCAGGATAGGGGCAGATCCAGATATATATTTTTAGTGGGATAATAAAAACATTTTTAAAGGTTTTATATTTGGTTGAACTTATAAATGTTCTGCAGTTAAGACCAATGAAGATAGGAATACTACCTAATCTGTTTTACCTAGAATCCGAAACACGGTCATCGATATCTGTTGAGAAGAAAATATCAAGAAAGCATAGTGGATCGTTCGAGGTCGAGTGAGGTTCGGACACAAAAATTTTAAGCTTTCGTTATTTAATAGAAAAAATATTTTAAAATACACTCCATGATTTGAACTACGATATAATACTACTAACATAATAAAAAAATTATTTACTTATAGTTTTTTATTCAAAAAAAATTATTTTTCTTTAGGGAGAGGCGCACTCTTGTAGATCTGCCAATTTTCTGTGTTTATTTGTATATAATACAATGTTACGTAAATAAGTAAGAGTTCGGATAAACGTTTCTCGCAAATTCTTTGTTGTCACATTTATTCCTCTCTACAATTTTTCAAAATGATGTACTCGTATTCACATCGTGTTTCGAGATTGCATTTTCCAAGATTTTTAAAAATTTCTTTTAAACATTTCTCTCTTTTTTATATTTAATTTAACTAGCATTGGGTTTTTAATGTTATTTTTTAATTATTTATTATTTTAAGCTGCTTCTAATGGTTTTTTTTGTCTTTGTTTTAGGTAAGTATGGAGGAAGATAACCTCCAGTTGGGAATAATCAATTGAACTCGAGATAACTTGAAGTTGATCAACTAAATTCTTTTCTTTGTTCGTACGTATACATTTCGAAACTTGAAGCAACTTTGGTAAGATACTTAGTATTTGCTATATATTGTAAAGTACTTATGTTTGAGGTGGTATTTGTTGGTTTTTCTACTTTAATAGATGGAATAAGAAGTGATTCTTGTATCTGGAAAAAAATAAATTTCTTTAAGAAGAGTATATACCAAAATACAGTGATGGTTTTATTTCTCGAGTGTACCCTTAGAGTGCTATTGCAAGTTATCTCCAGAAAAATATATTGCTCATCAAATGCTAGAATAGAAAATAACTTTATTCTGGGACGAAGTTTCTCAAGAATAACAGAATAAATAAAAAAGAAATAGAAAGAAAAAAATAATAACATTTGACTAAAACAACTGTTACATTAAAATAAAAAATAGCTGGCTAAAAAGCTTTAAGTAAATAAACTATACATATACAAAATCAAACCAATGAGACTATTTACAAAATACTACAATTATATTCAATACAAATAAGAAATTATACGAACTATGAAACAAAATAATCGCTGCACAACTAAAAATATAAAATAATATAATAATCAAAAGAAAAAGATTTAAAAAAGAAAAAGAAACAGTAGAATATAAAATAAGCTCCTCTAATAAATGAGCAACAAATCTCCTATTAATAAAAGAAAATTTCAATTCTTATTGAAATACACATGTAAACAAATATATACATGTTGTCAAATGAAAGATTGTGTGAAAAAAATATGTATACATAGATATGTGTGTGCATATAAAAAAAAAGGTAAGTAATATGTACAAAAATAAAAAATTCGGTTTTTTATATTATTACTTAATGTAATGGTTGGCCGTTTTCTGACTGTTGCGAAAAAAGAAATTGGAACAGAAAAGTTTTAAAAGTGAATAGGGATGGAGCATGTCGAATTTGTATAGGTAAGGAATGCCAGAAAAAGACAGAGCGGACCACGAAGGAGTTTTAAAAAGTGACAGATCTGTGAAAAGTAGTATAAAGTTCAGATGGTCAGGATCTTGTGGTGTGGGAGTAGACAGAGGACTTGAATTGGAGAAGATCACAGATATAGAAGGGGCAACGAGTGTTGATAATTTGATAGGAAATTGTCTAGGAAATATTGTCTACGAAAGATATATATAACTAGATGTGATATACTGTATATATAATATATAACTATTATTTATAAATACTGGTCTCGCCAAGAAATGTTTTATGTATATATTAAAGAATTACAGGATATCACTTCTTAAGTAAAGCCGTACTAATGCAACACATGACGCCATTAAAAATACCAAGACTTTAGGTTGTGACTCGCTTTATAAACTGTAATGACATGTACCATTGGAAAGTAATTTTTAACATAATTTATAAACATGAATAATAATTGTTACTTCAAAAATAAACCAAAACGAAAACATAATGCATCAGCACAAACTAACCATAGCTAACCATCTTTTCCTCAGTCAGTAATTTCCTGTTTTGATTTTGTTCTAATTGTTAAGGAAATGATTCACTAACAATTTTTGATTACTAGAACATTTTTTTTAATATATTACTTCAAAAAAAAAATAATTTTTCCAAATAAAAAAATTATGTTTTTTTCTAAGCTAAAAGTTATATTTATATTCTGAATAGGAATAACTGTTTGGGCGCCATTTAAGGTGCGCTGTTATCGGAGGATTGCGTTGAATATTACAGGCCTTCCTCTTGGTCGTGCCGTTTATAATTTGCTAGTATTTATTTAATTAGTGCCATTCCATCAGCTATTTTAATCTTTGCTAAATTAGACGGCATTTAGCAGAAGAAAACCGGACCGCAAACTATGCTAAAATGAATTAGAGCTGGTTTTATATTTACACAATGATGCAGGGTTACCGTATTTAGCAGCAAACAATGTTATATCGAATCAGGTGCCTTCAACGATAAACCCAAGTTGACAAAAATATATTTAATCTTAAACTACACGGACATCACAACGGACTTACCACCGACAACCCCACGGCTTACATGCTCATCAGGAGGCGACTGAAAAGGAGCTGGATGAGAGATCTCGTTGCCTGATTTAAGGATGTAAACAGACCAGAGAAGAGGTGCTGTTGGGTACTATTCTTCATCATGCCTCTCATACCATTTTTTTTCTCACAACAAATCTGCTAATTGTCACTACCGTGACAGGTGGGGATGGAGATTTGAATACAAAAAAAAATTCTTCTATTATATAAACATCTGTTAACAGATCATATTTTATTTGATACTTTACACCACCATTTGTTTAATAAAATACAAGATACATCATTCAATAGCGTCCAAATACGAACTGAAAGAAATGGAACATTTCTACACAGCTTAGAGTGGTTATAATCAAACAGCTGATTATAATTGATAAGGACACAGATGAAAACAAAGAAACATATACTCACCAACTAAAATACATAAATAAGCCACAAAAATACAGATAAAAAAGAAACAATAATGAATACGAAAATAGACAGGAGAGGAAGTTATCATAAAAAAAATTAGCTAGATTTATTCAACGTTTCAGTGTAAACCTTATTTAAATTGCTATGATCAGTTTTATAGTTAACGGCGATTTCTAAATATTCTGCAATATGTATAACCTCATTGATTCAAATGTAACTGATACTTTTCTATAACAGTTACAAAAAGTAACTGGTAGGGTTAATGTGCAAAAGATCCCTGACCCAATCGAATTCTTTAGATTTTTCTACGCCGTTAACGTTTCTCTTGAATTTCCTCAAAACATGCGCAATGCGAATCGGTTTCCTTCTGTTAAATGGCATCAAATTGAAACTAAAACAAGGGTTCTAAACATGAAATTAAAATTACAATCATTGATTTATTGTTTACAATTTTGTGTTTTCGTCTGAATTGAACTACAGTAGAAAGAATAATCGATTCTTGAAGACGATCAAGCCATCGATTCGGCTGTATGTACTCTTTATTATCAGGGGTTATTTATGGACTTATCAGTTGGGGAGGTTATGGACGATGGTAAGTGGTTGTCGTGAACCATCGAGGTTGGAAATAAGAAAATAAAGAGGAGGCGGTCCGGCGTGAACAATTACAAAGTTGAAAGTTCGTGCCTCGGTGCCGTCACGAACTGAGTGCCGCGTGGCGTGGGGTCACGAGCGACAGTCGGACACTTGGGCCAGCTCCCTCGTTATATCCTCGTACTCTATCGCCGGGCCTCTTTCTTATCTCAACTCTAAGCTTCTTCGTTTTCGGCAAGTATAGTGGACTAGTCTGCCCCCGGCAAATATAGTGTATTAGTCTGCCCCGGTCGGAACGTCAACAAGATGTAACTATCCTTCAATCTGCGATGCAGCGGAACATTCGTTTCTACAATTATCTGTTCAACACAATTCTTTTTAAATTTATTTAAAAATATAATAATCTGTCACATGGACAATAATTGTAGTGATATATGAACACATTCACACCATATATACAGAAAATATAAAATAATAATCAAAAACTATGTACAATAAAAAATAAAATAACCTAAAGATAAGTAAATCAAAAAAACATAAAAACACAGTCATACCTATATACAATATATACAATTAGGCAGAGAACCCTAAGCCAGGCTTCTCCCTCCAACTATAGAAGGAAAAGCAGAAAACCAAGAGATCCCTGCGCTACTCTCTCAACCGCCTCACTGGTGCTAAAGCCAGTGGAATTTGAGCGAGAGCGCTTTAGCCACATACACTCATATCTTGAGTGGAGTACCTGACCATTGCCAGAACTCCAAGACATATACTACAAAAGATCTCTGGGCCACTGCCGCTTCAACCTTCGAGTAGGAATGTAGAGATGAGTGGAACTAGATGGAGATTGTGTTAGGGGATTTGGATGATTTATAAGTTTCTAATGGAATTTGGAAACATTTTCAGGGATAAGGTCGAGGACAAATGGGATATTAAGATCATGATGTAGGGTGTTGTTGGTTACATAGAACTGAGCATCGACTATTGTTCGGAGGACTTTGGACTAAAAGGATTGGTTGCGTTTGATGTTAGAAAATTTTGCTGCCTCCCAAAGTTCAAGTCCATAGGTCAAAATAGGTTTCAGGATTGTCTTGTAGATTAGTAATTTGTTGTCAATTGAAAGTTGAGATTTTCTAGTCAGTAGTCTGTATAATTGGCCGTATCGTCGGTTAAGTTCTTGTCTTTTAAGTCTAGTATGTGGGTTCCACGTTAGTCTTCGGTCTAAGATAAAGCCAAGATACCGAACTGTGTCTGAAAAAGGAAGCTGGATGGAATTAAAGTACACTGATGAACATGATCTGCCCCGGACCGTGAAGGTAATGTGTTTGCATTTGGATTCGTTTACTTTGATGCGCCATTTATTCAACACAATTAACGAAACTTCATACTTTATTAAGACTGTGAAATTAACAATTTAGAAGAAGAAGAAAAGTAAATTTTATCCTGGGACAGTAAGTCCCCTTAGAATAACTACAATGTACAATTTTGTTATCTAGATCTAACATGAAAATAAAAAAAAGCATTTCAAATTATACATAAATCTAAATGTCGAGTTCACATAATATTATTACCCATAAATAATATGGATGATATATAATTATCTGTAGGATAACATTACATGCGACTGACAGCTCTCAAAAACGTGAATATTATTTTGCACATATTCGGAAGATTGATTGCTGAGGAGATGTATAAATGTATTATGTTTAAAAGAGAGCAGGGATGAAAATTTCCGTATGGAAGTTGGTAGGGAATTCCAAAACCAGGTAGCGTGTAAGATAAGAGATTTTTTAAAGAAAACAGTTTTATGAGAAGGAATGAACAGGTTCGAGGGCTGGGATCTCGTCTTGAAAGAATGGACAGAAGAATAAAGAGTAAACCAATTGTTGTTTGGTTGAAAAGGCTCGAAAAAGGGATACACCTAGGAAGTATTGCCGTCCGAATAATGGATAGAGCCACTCCATACCAACTGGAGACCTGGGGACTCCAAGTATAAATCTAATGAAACAATTCATCAGTCTCTTTAATCTGATCTGAAGCCCTGGAGAATATATACGCCATACCTGGGTATTTTATGTATTTATTAAAAATATCAAAAAGTTTCTTTCTACACTATCCGAAGCCCCCTAGGAATTAAATAGAACAGATAGCCCTAGAAATTGTTCTCCTCCATTTATCTACTCAATAGATTTTTAGTTCGTCGATGACAATCATAAATTTAATGTTTAAAACGCAAGTATCCCATGGCAACCGTATTATCTAAGAAGATTTCGGGAAAAATTACGAATTATCTAGAAAATGGAACATTTTAGGGCTTTAAAAAACAGATTTCAGTATAGTTCCTTTGCAACTGTTTACAAATCAGAATCAGTATAGTCCCCTCACCTTTTCGATTGGTTACGTATTTGAGGATCTATAATTTGTTGTTTGAGAATAAATTCCACAGAAGGTATGTTGGTGTTTCGAGTATTTACATCTTTTTAGAAATATGCAGCTAATCCAATATTGATTAAGCTTTGGAATACATCGGAAGACACGATGAACTAAATATATTTTAAAATAAATTAAAAATGAGCGAATTGTGTTAATAATCGAGATGAAAAAGACAATTCTTTTAGATACTGAATAATGAAGATTACGGTAGTTTGTACATGTTAAAATAATGTCTGCACAAACATTTCCAAAGATAAGTATGGAACTGGAAGTAGAATGAAGTTCGGTGACAGACCGAATTAAGAACACAGCGAACCATTGCTGATGATGGGCCATGCTCCTAATGGTAAGGGAGAAGTCTTCGTATGTCGAGAGCTTGTACAGAAAAAAAAGGAGAGAGATATTCAACATGTCCGGAATCTGGTTAGGACCCGGGAAGAATGATGATTGTGACTGTAAACCATCGAGCTTCTTTTACGGGTGAAGGTTTATTGTTAATATTATTTATACAATTTTATGATATCTGTTCCACTTTTACTGTCCTTTACCTGCATTTTTGGTGGATTGATGTTTGGCTTCAATAACCGAATCTTAGTTCAATATTTATGGCATAGATTTGACTCCTTTTATAACAAAATTAATTTAAAGGATCGATTGTGTATTTTCATGGCTCTAAGGAGAAATATCAAAAATTTTAATTTTATCAATTCTTCATGCCATTCTTGCTGTCGAAAATATTGCCCTCGCTCACAAATACGATATATCACCAGTAAATTGCGTGTAGTTTTATGATTTCATAATAGAAAATGTCTTTAGCAGTTACAAGAAATAACTTATTATTCATACGTTTGATTTCTCATATCATTGAAATATTTCATTTTTCTCGCTTCTTTTATTTCGGCACGACGTTCAAAATGTTTTTTCTGTTGGAGGGAATTATCTTTCCTTGAAAATACTTAGCATTCCAAATCTCAAAACCTACCAAGGCTGCCTGAAAATTTAAATTTTATCTCAACCTATACAGTTCTCTCTCGCCAAATCATAGTGGCCACTTTGGATTCCGATGTTATCGATCGTAGCACAGACCGTGGACACGATCTACAAGGGACGGATTGGGCCACTGGCCGGATCGCAGTAGTTAGAGTAATGAGAACGCCATATCGCAACGCAGTGCATTTTCTCATGAATTATGCAACCCGAGTGCGCTAGAAAAGCTCTTGGAAAGTCTCCGTCCGACCTTGGGAGGAATTCTGTTCGATCCACGCTCCTTCGATGGACCTTGCTCCATGCCGTCATTATCCGATCAGTTTTAGCTTGTCGAGTTAACTAAATAGTTTCATCTGCCTTGAGAAGGAGTACCCTTATCGTTTTTCAATATTTTTCATATACAATCGTAGATGTTGCTTTAGCTTGCAATGAGTTCGATTCCATCCAGGTGTACTCAATCGGGTTTCTTAGAATGAGTTGAAAGAATTAAAAAATTCATTGAAGAAGTAAAACGTATTACAAAATATAATACTAACTTTATACTTCATTTTAAAGTTTAAGTATGAAGTCTAAATGTTACAGTAATAACATAATAGTTTGAAATTAGGTTTATTCTTCTCAATATAAAAACAATCATCTTAAATAGAGAAAGAGGTATTCAAGGTGAAAGAATAGTATGATCAAACTGGGGCTCCCATCCCTCCAAGCTGATGGCGCATGCCCCCTTTCTTCCACGATATTTTATTGCTCACATTTTCTTAAAAACATAGGAAGCTAAGGTATAATTAGAAATTATACTAAATTAGATAAATAAAAAATCGTAAATTATGTAAAATTACACTTCCTGTGGTCTATTCTATGATTCCCCCTTGTCCCTTTCTCCGAAAATTCATAATCCCGTCGAAATACGCCCCCCTCAAAAATTTTGATGGCGCAACCCTCTTTTGGGCATTCCTGCAATCAAATACCATCTACTCATATTGATAAATGCCGCCTTATTTATTAATCAAAAATTTTATCATCACAGAATCATTTGGTGGTTTTTACTAAATAAAATCCAGAGATTTTAACAGTCAAAAAGATTGTATTTTTTTATTCTTTATTAATCATAAATACCACTCAGTTTCGACCTTAAGGCAATCCAACACGGGCATATCGTCCACACCAAAGTAAAGAATGTGCAAAATAGAGCAGGTTAACGTTCGTCACTTTAACATGGTTTCGACTATATTACCGGAGGCGCCAGCCACTTTTGGGAATTAAAAAAAATTTAAAAAACGTAAAAGAATTAATAATTTTAGCCTATAACTAGAGTCATATTGAATGAAAAGCAATGCATAAATTATCTAATTAAAACCTGCTTAAAAAATTAATTTAATTTTCTTGTCTGCTGTCACTGAGAGAATTATATCAGTATCGGCCTTAATGTATGTTAAGAATGATTAATTTTAGCCTATTTATAAAGTAAATTAATTAGATACATATTGAATAAAATGAAATTTAAATATTGCTTACAATTAGCTGAAGAAATAAATTTTAAATATTTTTTGAGGGAATGACGTGATTTTCCGATGGCGTTAAGTGTCTAAGATCGGGACTAGTTTATCTAGAACTGTTTCAGCATTTCTTTTCCCCACCCTCCCATGCCACTATAGCAACACGGGTGTATGCAGTAGTGTGGTGTTAAAGATTGGATAACAACACACTACTACAATTATAACATTATACGATATTCAAGACTGTACACACACTCTTTTAATTTTCCTCATTCTTCAACAAATTAGGCCATCCAGAATCCGGAGGTCTTTCTTCTGCAGGCCCCACCGCCGCCTTCCAACCATTTATGAAGCCTTTGAACCAGGAGAGGTTTTTCTTACTCACCAACAGAGGAAACTCCTCCTCGATGAGGACGTAAATTCCTGTGGTTCTCGTCAACGTGGCTCGCAATGCGTCGAAAGCAGTGCAGGCCGCGACCACGTGCTCAACGGTCTCCGGAACACCACCTTTTTCTTATTTATTACTTTTTTATTAAACCATCACGACTTTACCAATATTCACCTCCCCTCTTCTTCTTCCTCTCCCCTCTCCCGATACGCTTTCAAATAGTATTTCTTTTATTTTTAATTTAGCATTTATTTGACCGCACCCCCTGACCAACTCCTTCTCATACTATATCACGGTCAACCATCTCTACATCGTTATGAATTCATTACCACGGGGTCAACGAGAAGATATGAAACCACAATCCATACGCCGCAGTTCCAGATTTGGCGTAACAATCCTATATATTATTTCTAAAAGGTGTTTTTTTGTCATAACTGCATCAATTCTTCATCAAATCCAACTATTGACCACTCATTTTGAAGATATTCTTCTACTTCACATGCGGAAAATAGTCTCATCCCCCCGAAATTTCTGGGGAAAAAATTATGGTGGAAAAGAAACTTTATTTGCAAATAACTCAAAAAGTATGCATTTTTTTCTTGATTGTACCCATGATAATTAGAAAGATTATTAAATTACCTACAAAACAAAAAAAAATCGGACAATTATTAACAAAGATACAGTCCATTAATTTTGGTATACTTAATATTGTCTTCCTCTTTAACGATAGATAGGAGTAGAATAGTCTACTACATTTTCTTGCTGGCTTTTATATTAACTTTATTATTTCTTAAAGACATGGGTTTATTCTTATATTTTATATTATTTTTTAATAATTTAGAATACCCTATGATTGGGGCATTATTTTGTCTTTATTACTTTTATTATCTTTCCAGTCAGTGTTTAAAAATAGGTCCTAGCGAAGAAATATGTACAAATATTTTGGTCTATTATGTAAAATGGAATATTGTAATCGACTAAGGAAAATATATTAATTCCTTCCATACATAATAAATAGGAACTACTTATTTCCATATTGTTTTGCTATTTCTTCAATATACAAATTTTTCGCACGAGCCAACTAGTTAAAAATACTATTTTTTAAAAATTTAGTGTTTATTTGACCGCACTCCCCGACCAACTCCTTCTCATATTAAACTAACAAGTTCTTGTCATCTGACAATTTAATTAAAGTAATAAATACGTGTACTATTCCTGTGGTGACTTGTTTTTTTGGCATTCTAAAGTGGCCTAATATGAAGCTTGAGGAAATGAATCAGTTAGTATGTTTTTTCCCCTGATCTAGAAAATGTTATTACAAATCTACAACTTTTCTACAAATTAACACTTCTATATGGTCAGTAATGAAGCCATTGGATGATGCTTGCATAGCTTTCAACTTGGTTTCAACGGAACATAAAGAAGTCCCTATGGAAGGAATCGAGATAAAAATGGAAAAGTAAAGCACGAGATGGTTGCTTCTAAAATTAAATAGTAATTAGAAATTAAATAGTATTGGTTATTATAACTCCATTAGTCAATTTAAACAAGGATTTCGAAACTGAAGGATTTATTTTATTAATTCAGAATCAGATAGTTTCCACCAATGCTTATAAAAATATATACGCAGAGAAGACATGAGCGACTGAAATCGTCAATGTAAAAACACTAATGAGTCAATCCAGCATTTATCATCAGGATATCAAGTGTTGGCAGGTAAAGAAAGTCTCACGGGGCACAAGAACCTGGCCAAGATTGTCCATTAAGCTCTGGTCTCATTATATATAACATGATAGCTGGCTAGATTACTTATTATCGATATGAGCCCAAACTGGTACTGTCAGCAGAAAATAGGACAATATATTGGGATTGTTCTATAATTAAACTCTACACAGAAGTAAATAATAAAAACAGTCTCATCTGATCGAAACTCTAAGAAGTGGTGTCTTTGATATTTGTTCACTACCGATGATAATGTCAGAAAGTATCAAGATTTGTTCCAGGAGGTTTGGCATCTTTATATATATATAGGAGGTTTGGCAGGATCATATATAGGTATATCCGGTAGTGATTTTCAACAAATCTTTCATCCCATATGATATCATCTGCTCTATTGAGAACTCGAAGCTGCCAGAAACAGTTTTGGAAGGTCAGAAAACAGCACTCCTCAGCATAGTGAATATCGTTTTGGTAGTTTGTGAATATTTCTGACAAAATCGTAAAATAATAATGCATTTATTCAAAAGATATTTACTCTCGGTCATAGCCCATCAGTCGGTAAGTCCGATAGCAGACAATATTAAAATATTAATCAAGTAAATATATTTCTGTATTTATTTAGTTTTTTTGTTTTATATTATTACTCTCTGGCCTGCCGCAATATTGATGAAACATTTACTTAGTTGTACTGATAGACTGAAGACTTTGTTTTGGTGGCAATAAACAATAATGTTTTTCCTTTCTTTTTTTGGTTTTAGCTCTGATTAATCAATTGTCAATATGTATAATGATGAATGTTTTATTTGCCCGCAGGGTGATATATCAGAGATGGGAAGTGAGCATTACTGCCTGAGGTGGAACAATCATCAGAGCAATCTCCTAGGTGTATTCAGTCAGCTGTTGGAGGCAGAGAGCCTAGTAGACGTCACCCTCGCTTCCTCGGAGGGCCACTCCCTCAGGGCTCACAAAGTAGTTTTGTCGGCTTGCTCATCTTACTTTAGGTCTCTCGTTATATATATTGTGTATCTTTAACTTTAAAAAAGAAAATAATACATATAATTTATTAATCATTAGATTACTTGAAGCATGCAGTTACAAAATCTGCTAACTCCAAAATAATTTTGTTTCTAAATATTAATTCATGATATTTACAACCATATTACAATATAAATACACCAAGTAAATGCACTAACGGATCCAGGATTTAATTTTGGGGGATCTTCAGCCCGAAAGATTTTTTTTTTATATATTACGATAATTACTTCAGAAGAAAGAAAGAAACTAAGTACCTATATGAAATGGTGCTTAAGTGATTCTTTAAGTCCTATTAAATGTAATTAGACAAACAATAATACTTTTAGAGATAATTTTTTTCATAAAACATAGTTATATTTTACCATTTGGGGGGAGGGGAGGACTTCAGCCCGAAAGCCCCTCTTCCCATTTCCTCCCATATTTTGTGAACTCTTCCAAAACAGAATATATCCTTCATAAAAATCTATTCCTAAACAAGCCAGATCTATTCTTGTTAGGTTAATGTTTACTAAAATTGAAGTAAACTTTTATCATTGTTATCCAATATAAACAACTTCATTTTAAGCAGTCAAAATTTTCAGTTGTGACTGTGGAACTCTAAATAAAAACTAGGTATTTATTAATAAATTAAGCCTTAAGACTTAAATTGAAATGTTGAGATTATATCGGCTGTTGTGGGGCACTTTTTCCTACGATCTGATTTTATTTTGGATCAAATCATAAAAGAAAAACTGCAATTATAATTTAAAAAAAATAGCCATGTCAAACCTTTTATAAAAACATTTAGGTAATCATTGGTCTACATTAAACTTGAATATTATGAAATAGCTCTTGAAATGCTCTGATTATTTATTTTTTTAATTCAATTATTGTTTGTAAATATTTATTCATTCTTTTTTTTTTACTTTATGCAAAATCTATTAATTATTTTTAAAAAATATTTTATTACTATTAAAAAAAAAAACTTTACCATTAGAACCCATGAAGGGTCTTGGGTTCAGCACTTTGTAAGGAAGTATTATTACTATTATTATTTTATTTTTTTTTCATGCAGCCATGTAAAATTAACTGTAATAGCTAGTAGACGTTTATAACTGTAATAGCCATTTATTTAACTGATTTTGAAACTGAATCCTTGATTTTTCTCTCATTGTTTGAGAGTAAATGTACTTAAAGTAGCAAAACTGTGGCTGATTTGATCTGGGTTTCAATCGACTAACGTAATTCGACTGACTACGAGAGTAAAACATTTAAATATTGGGCTATTTATTATTAAGTAATAAATACCCTGTTGTGGTCCTATTCATTCTCCAGACAGTGGCCATGTTTATTTATTTTTTTTTTATTGGTTTTCACCCACCAATTTAACTTGTTTTTAAAGTATCCTATGAAAAGAAATAATGGTTTGAATAAGAATACAATTATATTTATGAAGATGCGTTTTATATTTATCAATAAGAAACATTTTCTTTCTAGTGAAAGGAAAGCAGAGAAAATAATTTTTTTTTCAAATTAGAATATTTTTTAATCGCTACCATTTCTTGAAATTATTTATAAATAATTTAAATTCATTGATTGCCTCCAATTAATAATAAGCTTGTTATTGTCACAGGTCCCTGTTTCTAGATCATCCCAATCGGCATCCAATAGTCATCCTGAAGGACGTGGGTTTTGCCGAATTAAGAACACTTGTGGACTTCATGTACAGAGGTGAAGTGTCTGTTGAGACGTGTAGACTTTCTGCCTTATTAAAAACAGCTGAGAGCCTTCAGGTAAGGTATGGGGTCTTTTCTCCAACAAATAATTGTTTTTGGTAAATCATTTTTTGCTTTTTACTTGGTTGGTTTGTAGTATGCTTAGCCTGATTTTTTTATTTTTTATTTGTACAAGTACTTTTCTATCTATAAGAATGTTCTTTTATCTACTTTTAGAAGTTTTTATTCTTTAAATCTCTTATGGCATTAAATTTATCTTGAATGCATTTCATCCTGTCTGCAATTATGTTTAATTTTTATTCATAACATATTCTTCCCATTTGGTATTTTTAAAAATTAAAGCAATATATGGTTCTCATATATTACAGTCATTAATTAAAATACTTTTATTAGAATACAACAAAAAATGAGAAACATAAATAAAATTATTTAAAACTGCATCAAGATTTTATTGTAGAATACAAACTAGACAAATAAATAAGTTCATAAAGAAACACTGTAAGTATAAAGATATATTAAAAGAAAACAATATTTTGTTTAAAATAAATTGAAAGAAACAAATTAATATTGAAAAAATTTAATTGCCAGTTGCTATGTAATGTGTTTGACATAGAGGAAGTCATTTTGCTGTACCATCGGTTTTAAATTTTTTATAACTTATATACATATACTGCCAAATTTGGTCTAATTTATGTTTTAAAATATGTTTTTAAACCAAGCATTTCTCAAAATTTCTTTAAAAAGTGTACACATTTTATTTTCAGAAACAATATTATCATTGTTGAAATTTTCCCGTATTTACTTATGATTACAGCTCTCAAATTTTGTGGACTTATTTGAGTAGCAGTTGGTTGTTGATATTTCAATAACCATAACAACTGTTTATATTAAAATTACCACCCCAGCTGATTTTCATAAGCTTTTATAATAAGGTCCATCTTTCTCCAGTTTCTTATTTCAGGTAAATACCGTGTCAAAGAAGATACTTTGGCGTAACTGACAATCAACTGTAAATTAAACTAATAGTAAATCAACTAACAAATGTCTATTTAATCATAATTGAGGTTTATTTGGATTATGGAATTCTAAATTTATTCTGACACATGATTTTGTAAAACATGATGGAGAGTGGCAATGTGAAGCACATGAATGCTTAACATCATTCACCAAAATGGGCCACTCTCCCTCAAATTTGTTTTTATAAAAATAATAAAAATCTATTCATTTTCTTGCTGATAATGTGACAATTCATAGTATCTTATATTATGTAGTTTTAGAACAACCAGGAGCATGTGATGTGCTAAGATTTATGTTTATTGTTTATGATATAAGCATGTTATTCCGATTGTTTAGCCTTTTATTGCTGTTCAAAACGTATTATGGTATCAAAATAGCTGATAATTTTTAAGTTCAATTCTTAACTTTGGCTGTATTGATTCGTTAAAGTAGGGTATGAACCCTCGTTTTTATTATAAATATATTTAGTTCTGCCCCGGAATTATTCATAGCACCATAAACTGGGGAAAATTAAGACAACTGGGTAAACAATTTTAAGCCCCAAAAGTTTTAACCTAAAGGCCTTAAATATTATAGCATTTCGTGTTTTGATTCATTCCCTTTTATTATGATTTTTTTTTTTAAATATTTTTAATCAGTTGAAAAATTTTTAAATTTAAGTATTTTAAGGCACCTAGGACCTTCAGTGGTTGCTTCGCCTGCTAACTGCTTAACCTGCCTCTTACAGTGAAGATAAGGAACAACCAACAAACACATTCTATCTATTTCATTTAGTTAATATATTCTCAATACATAAAACTTTTTAAAATGTTTATGGTATTGATCAGTTAAAGAGAAAAAAAATAACAAAATGTAGAGGATTTTAGAAAAAATCAATGCAGACACTTTGCAGGGAGGACGAGGACCATTTCCCCCTTCAACTCTGGTCTGGAATAGATTGCCCATTAGTCCTGTATTACCACCATTCTATTTGTTAAGAAATACCACTTGCCGTCAGCCCAAAATGTTTTGCATTGAACTTATTGCACGATTTTCATCCATAAAAATGTTATTTCTTTATTGATAAGCATTATGACAAGTTTACACAATGGCTAATGTATTTATAGGTAAAAGGTTTAGCAGAGATGACTGCGTTGAAGTCGAACAGCGGCGGCGAAGGGGAAACAACGCCGCCCCCTCAGCCACAAGCCCAGCCTGGTGCGAGCCCGCCGCCGAGCGCCCCTCAAGAAGAAGACGCTGAGTCGGTCCAGAGTGGCCCCTCGGACATGACGGTCCACCACCCACCCTCGCCTCCTCCGCAGCCGGAGCCTCAGCCCGGGCCGTCGGGCCTGCCTCCAGTGCAGGATGCCCCCCTGGTCAGTTCCTCATTCTAACAATATGTACTTATTACAATAATACAAATTTAAGAAAAATAAATTTATTAAAAGAATTGAAATATTTTAAAAAATAATTTAATTATAATTGTTAAACTTGAACCGTCATTAGAAAAGTTAATATATCTGCATCAAGCTAAAACATTTTGGATATTTATTCCTCAAGAGGGAGCCACTGATTGTCATTCCACTCCAATGACTCCATACCAAATGGAATGTGGAATGACTTTGAGTGTTCAAAACTATATGGATTTTATTGAACGAAAAGGAGCAATTAGAATTCCATAGCTTCTAACTTTATCACACTGCACCACAACAAGTCTCTTCAAACTCCAGTCAAAATCAAACCAAAAAGTGTGAAAAGCTGATGGAATGGAACAATGGACGGCAAGTTTTTGGGCTGTGCTATAATTACAGCCAACTATATGACTGTTGATCACAAGCTCACATAATCATTCTGTAGATGGAATACTGAAAATTTCTGAGTGTAGCAAATTATGTATCAAGCATTTTTATTTATTTTGTATAGCAGCATAAAAAAAAATAAAACAGCCAGTTAAGGCATATCTTACACATGAGCAATTTAATGGGGCAAAACAAAATGTCTAAAAATACTTTTAAATATATATAGGAGCTGGGGTAGCCATACGGGTTAAGACGCTTGCAATAGGTAATCAAAGTTAAGCAACTTTCAGCATGGTTAGTACATGGATAGGTGACCGTCCACCGGGGAAAGCCATACTGCCCGAGTCTCTCTCCACCCTCCTCCCATCCCAGGTATGTGAGGCCCTTCAGCCTACTGGAGGCAAGTCACACTGACCGGGTGTAGGACTGATGACCCTAGCCCCTTGTACTTATTCGAGAATCGGGATGTTGTCTACCAGGTTGTTAGTAGTCCCCCTAAGGTTCGGTCCATGGACAGTCTATATTTATGTACAGTCTATATAATCTACAGGAACTATATTTCTTTTGGGGAATGAAATATAGTTCCTCGTGCGCCTGCTGACTCCAACCATTCATAATCCATGGATCTAGACCGATTAGTCACTATCCTTGAACCCGATTGAGTCGGTGGGAAGGACACTACCAGATTGGCCCCAAAGGGATTGGCTATTGAGCTACGGGGGGCCTGCCTCTGCACCATGGAGATCATGGTTCGTAGCAACGTGAGGTTGGGTGACCCCCTCTAGGCTATCTGAGCTCCCGCAAGCAACATACTTCTGTAAGGAGACCACATCTTGCGGCCATAGATCTTCATGGTCTATAGTCCCAACTGAAAAATATATATATATATATATTTATAAAATACTTTAAAACAAATAATAAAAAATTATTTATAAAACAAAACATAAAAAATATGTTTTTAAAACAAAACAAGGTTTATACTTGTGGTCTCAGTTTATTAAAATGATCACCTGTTCAATCAGACAATGTAGGTCAGACTTCCACTCGCTTAAGAAATGAAAAAATCTTCAACCGGTTCTTTTCAGTTGAAGTGAGGCCTAATCATATCTTATGGAATATCTAAAATGATCCATCACCTATTTTTAACTTATAGCTCCATAAATTATGGCTTGTTATTTGTGATTATTTTTTTCTATAATCTGAAAAAAAAACTAGTAATTGCGATTATTACCAGCAGGAACACAAAATAATTGTGTTAATTTCGGTATTGAACATTTAATTTCATATAAACATTATATGAGAAGTTGGTTGGGGAAGTGCGGTCAAATAAATACTAAATTTTTAAAAATAGTATATTTAATTGTTACACCGACGTTTCGACCCATCTTGCAGGTCTTCATCAGGGCATGGCAAGTGGCACTGCAGGAAGCAGTTGATAGCGACAGATGTGATTATTTACTTAAATGCAACCTAAGAATTAAGTTCTACAAAATAATATTTTTATAAAATTAGGCTTCCTATTTACTCCAAACAAATAATATTTATAAGATATTATTTTTACACAAAAATTTATTTTTGGAACGACTCAATTATTCTCATAAAAAAGGATAAACTAACAAAATATATCATTTTGTCAACAACAATTTAAAATTTTATGTTGTTTTTTTTTTAATTAAGGATTTGTTTAAAAGCTTAAGTAGTTATTTGGTTATATACTGATCACTTTTAACGAGGAACATGACATTTGAAAGTCTTGATGCCAGAACCTGATGATTCCAAAGTTTCTAGTTTTTGTTTTGATGCATCTTTGTCTGTGGACAATATTACTATTTTTATGAGTCCAAGAATCAGGCACAAAAGTAACTCAGTTGTCTTCTAATTCTTTGGTAAAAAATATGAAAAAGATTGGATATTCGGCTAATAAAAATTGTTATCTGTTGATGCAAAAACCTGGTATGTCCGGACTTAACTCAACAAATGCAGTACTTCAATGGCCAAACAGATCCTGGGCTTGCTGATTTATTGAAAGCCTTATGGTGACTCGATTTGGCTTTCGCCAAGAATTCATGATTAAACTCTCATCTGGTTCTTGCATCAGGGTATTCAACTGATATTTGATTATCATATTTTGATAATCTTATTAAAATTATGCAAAAGTTTACAGGATTCTACAAACTGTAAGCTGATGTAAATATCATATTAATCTCTTAGATTATGGTACTTCAAACAATTAATGATCTTCTATTTTTTTAACGATTTTTTGTAGTCATTAAAAAAAGAAGTGGATTGGGATCGAGGAGATGAAAATAAAAGCAACGCAGGAGAAAGTTCTTCCGACTACAGGCACCCACACGATCCAGTAAGTTTATTTTTGACATTTTTTAATTTATTCAAATAATGCTAAATATATTTTTCCTTAAGAAAACCCCCATCAAAATCAAATTTGCTTGGCATGTTGCACGTTAGCAAGTTAGTAATTAGCATGTTAGTTCCCAAATCCTTCAAAACTACAATCATCGTTTCTCAACTAAAGGTTTTAGTGATCGTAAATGTCTCCGCAAAGGGTAGCATGCTTTTCTTAAATCTGATCAATCATTACCTTGCCTTGCTGAAAAAGAAGTTGACCTACATTTTTGGCCAATTTTGGATTGTGCGTTGTTTTTTTTTTTTTTGTTTTTTTTTTCTTCTAATATCTATATATTATATCTTTTTTTTTTTTTATTATGATGCCACAAGTTATTTCTGTTATTTTTTATTTATTACTATTTGTGATGAATGTGTTTTCTCATTATGATTATTATTAATGTTAAGAGTGGGTCGAGGGTTTCATTTTTGTCATTGCAGCCAAACAAAATGAGCGTCAACTTCTGAACAGTTAAAAATTAAAATGAAACATAGAAACTACCTTCCCCTTTTTCCTGTTTATATTGTTGGCTATTTTCCCATTACAAAAAAATAATGAAAGGAGACAATGAAGTTGATGGTGATTTCGTTTGGTTGCAGGACAATAACGATGGTGAGAATCGGGCAGTGTATTCGTGTATGTACTGCGGAGCGATATTTCCACACCAGAGCAAATTGACGAGACACATCCTCTCTCACAGCCTGGAGACTCTCAAGTACAGGGAACAGCTCCTGCCGCAGCAGCTTCCTCCATACCAAGGAGTCAAGGCAGAGGTGCCCGGTGCGTTGTGTAAGTTTTGTGGAAAGACATTCCCTGATGTAGGGTCCCTCATCGGCCACTTGCCAGCACACACTGGAGACCGGCCGTTCAAGTGTGAATTTTGTGGAAAAGCTTTCAAACTACGGCATCATATGAAGGACCACTGCCGTGTCCATACAGGGGAACGTCCTTTTAGGTGTTCACTGTGTGGTAAAACTTTCTCACGATCTACGATACTAAAAGCACATGAAAAAACTCATTATCCTAAATATGTGAGGAAGTTCCTTTCGTCACCGAGCCCGGAGGATGAAAGGAGAAATCAAGAGATGACCCATATGCCTTGCGACCTCTCTGTAGACTCGGTCTGCCTCCCGAGACCAATGCCGTTCGAGATACCTTCGGAACCTCTTTACCTACCACGGACTTCACCTTCTCCCTGACTCCAGTTTTATTATTATTATTAATTTTGTTATTGTGAAGTAAACCTTTCTTTCTTTTTTTTTTAATTTTAAAGAAAGGTTTATTTTAGTACTTTAGTGTTTTGTTAGTTACTTTTCAAAAGTTAGCAATGAAAACAGTGAGGACAATAAATAACAGTAACAGATGTACTAGGGATTCCTGAGACCAAATGTGTTAGATAAATATATTTATGTTTTAGAATAAATAGTTTGTTATTATGTAGTTATTAAACTTTTTTAGTATAGTGTTTTTTAGGACAATTGGTAAATAAATTTTTTTAATGTACAGAATATTATTTGAGAATAGATCTATTAATACTAGCTTTATTGGAATATATAAGAATTTTTATTCTTTTATTTATTATGCCATGTGTTACTGTTATTACTGATGGCATTAAATGTTAATGTTCTAAACTACATTTTATTTACGCTATGAGTGCCACCATTAGGCATAGGACACCCCCAGGCTGACGTCATATCCCCCTCTAAAAAATTAAATCTATTTCTTAAGCTGTTTTATATTATATAATATTTGAATTTTATTTCATTCAACATTTCTCTAATACAGTTGCATTATAGATAGGCTAAAATTAATCATTTTAATACATTTTGTATTTCTTACAATTGGCGAGCCCCCATAAATATCGGCCGGCAGCCGGGGGGCGATTGCCCTATCCTAAGACCGGCACTGTACACTATTACGTCGTACCCTCAGTGCAATACTAACATAAATAAAAAATCTAAACATTGTAAAAATGTAGTTCAACAATTTTAAATTTATATTAAGACTCATTTTGCTATTCGATTATTCTATTGGAATTAAAAATCAGTATTTACTTGAATTTCTTTTTTTTAGTTATGTTAGTATTGTATTAAGGACGTGATGTGACTTTGTAACACAATTGGGTTAAATAATTCTAGATTTATGATTGAAAATCTAATAATATAAGTGGGTTTAATATTTGATACATTGCTTACTTTTGAAATGTTCCAAAATAAGACAACTTGAAAAGTGTAATATGAGGAAAATGTTATCTGCTTTATCATTTATTTGTTATTTAATATATTGTAATTAATTAATATTAATATAATGTAAAATCAAGTTTAAGCAATTTTAAACTTTCTTGTTTAGGTTTTTAACTTTATTGTTCCTGACAGAGTTTGACTCTGTAAAAGATAGCTTTAAGCTATGTTGTAGTTTATCAAGAAATCTTAAAGATTTTATTTATTCTTTTAATAAATTTTATTTTTAAATTTAAAAAAAAATTGCACATTGTTTTCTTCTTTATAATGGTTTATTTTTTTATAGAGGTTCAGATTGTTTTGGCTTGCTATATTGTTATAATGTTACAAGATCTAGTCGGGGCCATAACACTTTAAATTCATGCCCTCGAAGGTGCTTTGAATCCAAGAGCTCTTTACTATATCCAATAAAAGTCATAAAAAATTTATTTATATTAACCTTATAAAAGAAAACTATTCCTGCCTATAAAGTTAGTATATTAGTAGTCGACAAATGACTAACGCGCAATAGATAGGAAGCCGCTTAGCAACCGCTATTGTCAACGGTAGCCTATGTTCTCAAGTTAGGTAGAGTCCAACGTGATAATGCAGGAGGTTCTAGCTGAGAGTTAATTATAATTCAATAAGTGTTAATAACAATATTAAGCAGTATATAAAACTTGTTATAACATTGAAAGTATGTATATATATATTAATAAAGCCGTATTTTCTCATATTCAAGTTAAATTAAATGAAAGTGTACCTCATAATTGTTAAATAATCCTAAATTTTTAAACTAAGGATGTTGTATTTTAATTTTGTTTTTCTATGAACTACAACATTTTATAGCATAATATAATAATTCATTTGTTGAAAAATAACAATACTGAAACCACCACACAATCAAATCACAATTTAATAATAGTAGCACTAAATATCATAGTAGATAATTAATCATTGTATTTAAATTAATTAAGTTATTGTTTCATTACATTTTATTTTTGATCTTATAAAGTTGAATTGTTCAACTTTAAAATCAAAACTATCGAGAAAAGTGAAAAAAAATGTATTTACATCAGAAAATCAAATGGTATCAAGAGTTGGGTACTGTTAAAAAACATGATATATATAATTGATCTGAATTGAAAATTTTAATAATATTTTTCCCCCAGTGAAAACGGAACTTTTTTTGCTCTCAAAAGATCCTATTGGAAATCAGTTTAAAAATGTACTAATTATTAAATTGAATAAGGAAAATAAATCATCTAAGAATTTAAAGAAATATTAATGTACAATATTTAATTTTTTTTTCAATGTGCATTTTGTGTTTAACTGCCTGTGAGTTGCATTTTGGTGCTTTATGCTAAGTTGAAGTGAAGTATTCGATTAGAAAGTAATATTTAAGGGATTTGAGAGGTTCCCCTCCGCTAGGCTGTTAACGACGTCTTGGCTGTGATATTTTGAGCTGGGAGGATACAGGGTCGGGGGTAATGCATACACTCGTAAAGAATTTAATCGTTAATTTCATTCTGTGATGTATTGTTTAGGTAACGGCTATTGCTAACGGGCATCTCATTTGGGGCATTCCGAATCGTAAATAAATTGTGTACTTATTTAATTTTAAGCTGACGTAAACAGATGGAATGAAAACCTAGTGCCTCATGCTTGTATATGAGTAAATACGGATTTTCGAGTCTCATTCATCGAGAGAATGATGAACTGATCTTCCAACCCATTTTATCATCTTTTCTTTTAAAATTTCCAAACTTGAAGTATTAAATTATTCTTTCATTGTGAAGCTTGAGTTTAAACGTTTTTCCCTTGACTACAATATAACATATATTATGTTTAGAAATATTTTATTAGGATGATAAAGAAAAAATCATATTCCCAAAATTATGTTCATTCCAAACTTTAAGATTTATCAATAGAATATACTAGTACACCTGCCGAAGATTAGATAAATGTGTTGAATAAGAAACATAATAGAAGATGGTATGATATTGAGCATTGTTGGATTAGTGAAAAAAAAATTATATAAAATATAAATAGGGGTTTGGTAAGGCAATCCAGTGATTTACTTCAAATTGTTTATATTTGTTAAATTAATGATTCCACAAATAAGTTATATAATATGTTATCTTAATATTAAGAATTTTGCAATTATATAAGTCTTATGTTTTACTCAATATAAAATGAGCTGAAAAAAAGGAAGAAATATTGATCATGTCTTAATTGTTAATTTTTTAAAACTGTAGTTATTGTAATTTGAAGAAAAAGAACTTTTAATTGTCTTCTATTTTATGTTTAGACGAACACAAACTAGTTCGACTTAATATTATATCATATTAATATTTTGTATAAAAGCTTCAGTTGAAAATTATTACAAAAAAAATAAATAAAATAACATATACATAGAGAAGGTGAAACTTGCTGTAAATAAAGCTCTATAATAGTTTTTCACTGTTTCATTTAGTTTTTTACAGATTCAATACAATTTTTTTTTTTTCAACTTTGTAAAAATAATAAGAAAATTTTTAAAAAGCAAATATCTAGATATTTATGTAGATAAAGAGATTATTTAATTTGAAAAGTATTTAAGACTAGTTTAAAATTTTTAAACCACTTTTTTTTTGTGTCCAGTATTAAATTAAATTATATTTATTCTTTTAATAGTATCCTGCGTTATAATTATTTCTAAAAGAAGCAATTAATGTTTGGATTGCGAAATGTATTAGAAAACTATACAATTCCAAATCATTGTGTATATTTTATTTCAAACTTATACTGTTGTACATACCATACATACTTATATTAAATTTAAATTAATTTAATAATTTGTTGCACTTAAACATTGTTAAGTATTTTATAACAATTAAGGGTTAAAGAAAAAACTGTGACATTATTTTAGTTTGGCAGAAGGCTTGGTATATGCGCTAAATATTATGGTAATATGAAAGAGTAACCAATGACATAAAGTAGTATTTACAACAATATTAAATAATTCAATAAAAAAAACTTGACAAATAATCGAGGAAACAAATATTAGCAAATGAAATTCCAAGCAATACTGTTCATTCACTTATTAGGAGTAACATGTATTTTTTAAATGGTTTTGCTTACATCAAAATTTTTGTTTTTTAAACATAAATAGATTGTTGTTTAAACTTAAAAAGGTGAAAAACCTTTATTTTTAACTTAATAATTCAATTTAAAAAGAATTTGGTCCATTGAGAGTTGAATGTTAGTTTGCTTCAATTTATCAGCTGTCTTTTACCTTTGGCTGTCTAATTAAACAACTTCAAAGTAATATTCTACGGTACAGACCCCTTTTTATCGAATTATTAACATCCGTCTAAAATTTTGTAAATAGTTTCATCTCATCGTAACCTACAACTATTTTATTTACGAAAACTCTTGGGATTGGCCAGTTTTCAATCTTGAAGGGGGCAAACTTTGTCTATTTAATTAGGTTCTAAAAATTCGTTAATACACATTTTTACTTGGATCCTAAGATAATTTTATCACAAAATCGAGAAAAAAGGTGTCCTTTTAAAATATTGAGCCGTTTGGCGTGACCTACACCTCAAAATTTTCAAAATAACGAGGTTTTATAGGACAAACGGTCCAATATTTTTATAGGCCACCTTTTTTATCGATTTTGTGATCAATTTATCTTATGATCCAAGTAGAAAGCAAATGGGTATTTACAAGTTTTTAGTAACTAATTAAATAGAAAAAGTTTATCCCCCTCCAGTTTGGAAACGCCCCAATTCCAAGAGTTTTCATAAATAAAAGAGTTCTTGGTTACAATGAGATAAAACTATTTACGAAGTTTCAGGCGGATGTTAATAATTCGATAAAAAAAGTTCTGTACCATGGACTATAATAAGTCTTGGTATAGAATTTGTTATAATTGTGAAATAAAAATTCTTGAAACATACTTTACAGGTCATTTAATCCATCATTGTGCTAACAATTCTATTTAACCGTGTCATTGTGCATTAGAACATGAGCAGTGTATACCAAGCCTTAGTTTTAGTTTTTCTTGCTTAAAAATAATTTTAAAGCAAGGATTCAGGAAAAAAAGCATTTTTCTTGAGCCATTATTAATTACTAACAATTTTTGTTCCTAAAATATAATTAGAACCATATTGGCTAATTTTAGTTTTAATTTTTAACTTTGAAAAATCTGCACAGCAATAAGGTATAGTTCTAGAACGTTAAATATTGCTTTAACAAACAAAGCAAGAAAGATTATAAAAAATGTTAGAATAATATAATTATTGTTGAATGTGTTAAAGTTAAAATTGGAAATGTGCGAGTATACAAAATAGATAGGCTGTGGGTTGCCTTGTTAGAGTTTTCACAGCTGGTCACAGCATGTTTTGTATTTTTGTAACTTGAAAGAGTCTGCTTTTGGCCACCGTGGTAACCAATTGTTGCAGACGACTGTGATAGTTTGTGATGATGATCCATTATATTTGGTAATTTATATTGTAAACAAATATAGAAGGAGATGATCGATTATTATATTATATACAATTCAGTTGATTTTTTTTTGTTGTACATAACATTTATTTATATGCTATAAAAGTAGCTATGCAAAACGGTAGCACTCAGTATCCAGAGGGGTTAATTATTGTAAAAAATTCAAAATAAATTTTTACCATCTCTACTGTCAAAATACGATTACTATTTTCTGTAAAACTAAAGCTTAGCGATTGGTCTCTCCCCCCTCCCCCACTGGTACATGTGCAATGTTCCTTAGAGTTTGGAGTAGAAGGCAGTGCCATCTTAGCACCAAGTATTAATAATGGAGGCAGTGTCTTAAGGAAGGAAACAAAACCAAGTAGAACACTGTGACTATTCAATTTAATATTTAATTTAAGTCTACTGTTTTTGTGTTTGTACCAAAAAGTATGTAAATTATTTCACATATATAACTGCATTTCAAAAGAGGAGTAAATTACAACTGTTAAACTACAATCATGATTTTGTTGTTTCATTTTTTTTCAATTTTTAGTGACTTTTACATGGACGCATACATATAAACATAATAATGCATGCGTAATATCCTTATGTATATAACTTTTTTTGTTTTATTTTTTGAAAAATGCATATCATAGTTTGTAAAATGACTAAGTGTGTAATAAAATGCTTAAATTTGACAAAGATGATGTATACCCTCGGCCTCAACAAATATTAACAACTAAAAGTGTGCTACTGTTTCTTTCAACTTTATTTTGTAATTTTGCTCTAATAAATATTTTTGAGTGGAAAGAGTTTTTGTACTGAATATATTCTGCAAAACAAACATTTTGATTAGTTCATTATTTATTCATATATTATTACTTGTAATTTAATGTCGCGACAAGCTTCATGTGTTTTCAGAAAGGCACAAGAATATTTTAAGGAATAGTGTCTCCTAATATTAAGTGCTTATTGGTCATAATATTTAGAGTAAAAAAATTGGTGTGGTGTGCACATCACACAACTTTCAAAATTGATAAAATAAAGTGCTCCTTTTGTTTAGTCAATTTTGATGTAACGTCCCATGCATATGCAATGTACCTACCTTAAATACATTTCAGTTTCATAAGACTTATCATTTTTGTGCCAGGTGGTTCACATAAACTATTTTGTGAGACTTAATTTGAACTTAAGTGATCTTAAAACAAGTATAACATGGATTCTAAATTTTTCACTATTGCAATACTTTCTCTTACAATATATTTCATAAATAGGTAAGTGAAAGTAAAAATGTCTATAACCCGATGTGGTAGTGCTAAATGAAAGTATAGCAAATGTTATGTGGATCTTGTATATATTACAATACATCGTTGTTCAGCACTTAAAGGATTTAAGATAAGTCTGCAAAAACCAATAGCTGATTCACTTCTTGGTCGCTAACAATTCCTATCAAATACTAGAAAGTGTGTTTTCTATTAATATCAATTTGTCTGTATTTCCGTTAGGAAGCATTTGCGGACATGATATTTTACAGTTTTTTTTTTTTTACTCTAAATGGCATGAGCAATACAGCTCTAAGGCATGAACATTCACTCCAGGAATGTAAATATTGCAAAAATATATTGATAATTTGATATATAAATGGAACCTCAACATTTTAATCTTTGATAAGATGAATGTAAATATACAACAATATCAATAGTTATCTGATAAATCAACAATATTAACATTTATGAAAAAGATTTATTACTAAGAACTAGAAAGAATTGATTAAATTGCACATAAAAAAAATTAAGAAAATCAAAATTGAATTTGATAACAATGATTAAAACAGATAAATATTATCTATATTTTCATTTTAAACCATAAGATATAAAGAAAGAAATTAAATAAATAATTTTCGCATATTATGTAATACAGAAATCATGAAGGAGATGGTCGGTTGTGCGGTTAACATAAATACTATATCGATTAATATTTATAGATTATTTCTTTTCTCATGAAGAGTGTAAAAGTTAACAAATCCAATAAAATACCATTATAATATGTAGTATTTATGTTGACCGTATCCACCACTAACTCCTCAAATTATGACCATGATCAACCATCTCTACACCAAAATAATCTCAATTTTATGTGGTAACCTGACAGCTATTCTATCCTTAAAGAAATTTCTAACTTTATTTCTGTTTTATATAAAAAATATTGGTTTCAATAATTAAATTTTAATATCTATCGGTATGTTATATATCTGCAATATCAATATTTTGATAAACAACTTTATCCCTGGTACAGTATATATCACCTCATTCTATTTTTAAAATAAATGTGTTATTGGAAAAGAAAAAAATATTTAAAAGAACATCGCATCAAGGTCTTCTAGATGTAAGGAGTGCTATCAATTCAATTTTTTTTAAATTATAAGATTTAAATTTATTTTAATAATAATCGATCGTATGAGGAATTATATATCATTAATCACCCTTCATACATCTCTTTACTCCAACTTAAATCATGGCATGACAGATCTTATTTTTAAGTGGTGCAGTTTTCATTTTTTCCATATTTTATCATATTTTGGATTTATTTTTAAAATATTTAATTCATTTCCACCACAGGACCCCATATTGTACCCAATATTGTTATTTAAAATTTTAAAAATTAGTGTTACTATGGATCATATGCACAGTAATGTTAATAATTGTTATTCAGATGAGAAAGAAATATTAAAAGGTATGCATGGCTTTCACTTCAAATGTCTATTTGAACCAATCCTTAAACCTTTTTTTTATCTTTTCATTAATTCCCTTCCACCAATACCAGACCCAGCTCAGTGAAATGAATCTCCAACATTACAAGTAGGAAATATTTTATTATTAGTCTTCTTTATTGTTTTACCTCTGCAATGTTTACATAACATTGGCAATATCCATCAAGAAATCATCTGATATGTTGTCCCTGAGGTAAGAATTGTTTTATTAGTTACAAAGATTACAATAAATTGTTTTATTAGTTACAAAGGTTACGATAAATTGTTTTATTAGTTATAAAGGTTAAAAAAGTTTTATGTCTGCAACTGTTTAGCTGTGTATAAAATATTATATATATATATATATATATATATATATATATATATATATATATATATATATATACATAATCCTCACCTGAGAATCAGAGCCATTATATTGCCAATGATGAAATATTCTGCCCAATATTGTTCTTGGATTTGCTCATGTATTTTAGTGTTTAATTAGACATAAATATTATAATTAAAATTTATAAACAATAGGTAGATATAAGAACTCATTAGTGGTATTTTTTTTTTTGTAAACTTGACAATGTATACAGTCAAAATTCTGTTTATTGAATTGCTTTTAGACACCTTGAATTATAATTTTTAAAAAATAATTTTGTTATAAAGGTTTTTATTAGGTTTTTTCTTAGAGAGGTTTCTAATAAAGAAAAAATAAAATGTAATTGACTTCAATAATGGCTCTGTGTTTACTTTCGAGACTGTAATTAAAATAATTAAGTGAATTTTTTTTTTTTTTTGTAAATTTTTCACAAACCCTGAGAAATTCGGTTAAGACCATAAGAAGAAATGATTTAAGTATTCACAGGAGTGAGATTCCTATGAAAGTCTTTCCGAACATAGAACAAAATTTTTATTTTATATTCAGTTTGACATAGTCTTTCTTATTGAACATATCTCATGAACATCATTTAAGTGTGAAAGGAAAGTTTGACTTAATAAAATACATAAAAATCAGAATAAAAAATAAAGATAAGATAAAAATTTATGGTATCAAAAACTTTAATTTAATTCTTAAATAGTGTTAAAATCAATGAAGCAATGTTGCAGTGTAACACAAAATGAGTCCTAAAAAATAGATTTTGATGCTTCTTCAATCAAAAATAATTTTTAATTATTTTGGGAATGACAAGGATTAAAAATTGCTATATTTTACTTAAGAAACCTTTTTGTTTGACTTCTTGCTTTTTTATTTATTAAACCTTAATAACATATCATGTTATTTTAGGAGGTGTGCCTGGTAGAGGGAGAATTTGGTCCTTCAGGGAGTACTCGCAGTATAGACCAGCTCAGCACCAGCAGCAGGAGCTCGACGCCTTTCCAATTCCCAACATTAGCGGGGCTGGCTGGTCTCTACGGGGAAAGTGTCCTCAGCCTCCTGCAGGCCCACGAGGCGCTCGGGGTCAGGTGCAGCGTCTGCCTTGCTGGCTTCCCGTCGCCGTGGCTACTGGACCAGCACATCGCCCTCCAGCATCCGGGCCACGGCACGCCGGAACCGTTGAGGGATGACAAGCCGTTCAGGTGTGATCAATGTGGCCAGAGTTATCGCTATCGATCTGCATATCTCAAACATCGCGAACAAAATCACCGTGCAAGATTACCAGCTGACAAATTATTCACCTGTGATGTTTGTGGAATGCAGTTCAGATACCTCAAGTCGTTCAAGAAGCATCGGTTGAATCACACTCTTGAGAGGATCCAAAACAGCCCAAGGAGGAGCTCTGATCGAGAAAAAGAGGATGAGGAAGAGAGAAGAGAAGAAGTGACGAGCTCGAACGAAGCCGTAGGTAGGCAAGTGGAAGGTTCTGATCAGGATGACACGGTAGATTCTGCCGAGGGTGGTGAGTCGTCTTTGATTGGATTGCTACAGCTTGGAGAACGGCAGAGGCCTACCAGATCGTTTGCTTGTCCTTTCTGTGGCAAATGTGTGAGATCGAAGGAAAACTTGAAGCTCCATGTGCGGAAGCACACCGGAGAGCGACCTTTTGCTTGCCTCTTTTGTGGGCGTGCATTTGGGGGAAAGAGTGATCTGACGAGGCACCTTCGAATCCACACAGGGGAGCGCCCTTATCATTGTGAAATGTGTGGCAAATGCTTTGCGCGGGCAGACTACCTTTCAAAGCATTTGACTACGCACATACATCAAGGTCAACACCGATAAATGCCGTCAGTCGTAAAGTATTAACCTCTCTTAATCTATTTCTCTCTTCATATCTCTCTGTTTTAATATCGGAGGAAGCGGCAACCTCTTAGAGTTCATCTGTTTTGGATCTTGTCAAATGTTAACGAAGCAGGAGTACGCATAGGCTAAGTATTTTTTATTATATATTTGGTAAATGGCCTGGAATAATTGTGATGGTTTGGGGATGGGGGTTTTTAAGAGACAATCATTGGTGATAAAGTACAATAAGGTATAATGTAGGAGATAAGGTTAGCAGGAGTAAGAAAATGTGATAAGTAACGGCTGGTGTAAGAAATGATAGAATAATATAATTTCAATCTAGCACAATCTGAATAGTTTTTAAAATTAGTTAAATTGATCGAAAATAAAACGTTATTTTTTAAAACTAAGCCCTCCCGTGGAATACTAACTGCCTCTCCGTACTTCCAGTTATGTGGTTAGTATGAAACTAATCGTAAATTACTACCTCATCATAAATCTAATAGTAACATGAATTATCTGAAACAAACAACCAAACGAACCTCATAAATAATTTTATCAAAATATAAATTATATATTAATATGATCTATTAGGAAAATTTTGATCTATTCAGTTTTTAACGTAATCTCGAAAAAAGCCGGTTGTTGATTAATTTTAAATATTAAAGTATTTATTTAAATTATAAAGGGAATCATAAAAAGCGTCTAGTCAATAAAAAAATAAAATAAAAATGCTAAAAAAAAAAAAGAAATATTTATATAAATAGATTGTACATAAATATATAACACTAAAAGTTTAAATGAAATTATAAAATGGAATTGTAAAGATTGTTTTTAGTTTTAAAGAAATTGTAATGTTTTAAATTTGTCTAACCATGTATCATATAATGATTGTGAATATGTTATTAAGAAACTGTATTTGTTTTGTATAGATTATTATCATAATGTATAAATGAAAATGAAAATGTTGAGGTTGAAAGGTGATAACATGAATCAACTTCATTTTATCTTATATTAATTTTAAATTATTTAGTATTTTATTTTACTTTATTGAACATTATTTCATTATTTTCACACTAGAGGGAGATGTATCAATATACCTCTGGGCCAGGTTCGTTTTCACATGATTAAATAACTCTAAATTAATTCCATTTAAATTATTTGATGTTAATTGAACTAACTTTAAATTATTTGTTTATTGTGTTAATTAAACTAACTTGACCATCTTGAAGGGCTCTACTTGTAAAAATAAAACAAAACAAAATGGCTATGTGATATTTATAGGAAACCGAATTGTGATAGAACGAATTTGGTATTGTCTAGTAAAAGTATGCTGTGAACATCATCTTAATTTTTGTGTTGGTTTATCGAAAGATATTAGCGCCCATTGTGATAAGGATAAAAAAATATGAGTGCATTAAAGTGTGATATAGATTTAAGGCTAGTTAAATTAAAGGACTGTTCTTAATGTAAAGGACGTTCGCCAAGACAAAATGAACTCTACGACGGAATTGGTTTTACCTCCCGCTTGTCATCTTTAGCCCTATCATCAATATAAACTTATCTCTATAAGAATTTTTCAATTTTGGATGTGATGTATTAGTGAGATAAACTATTAGATTTTTTATTTTGTTTTACTATAATTTTTTGAAAAATATGACTAGTTGTTTATGTGATCTACAAACAGCCATTCTTTCAAAAGTTATTCTTCCACAACAGTGGTTATTGTTTGTAGCTATCGAGTTATCTGTTAAATGTGTTTTATATATATACATATGAAATGAGTGATGATTATATTTCCCTTTTCAAATTTTTCTCGTACAAAGACTGTTAACACCAAATTTTTGGGTAGCAAAGTTTGTAAAGTATCGCAGATTCACTATTTCACAGAAAAAAAGGTTGTTAGTAAATGTTATGCACCAACGGAAAATGGACCTCAAAAGTGTGGTTATTGTGTGTTTGGGACTAATTTTAAATAAATTAGAATGTGATGGTGCTAGTAGATAATTTAATAAAATGTCAACACACCCCCTCCATTTTGTAACGCAATTTCGTTGTGATATTTAATAAATTGATGTTTCTTACTAATTGTAGTCAAATCTCTTAAATGTGTACATTATAGATAGCTTTAAGATTCGATTTGGAGTTGTTTTATTAATAATTGTATTTATGTAATTATTATTGTAATAGTGTCATCTTTGAAGGTCGATGATTGAAGGCGATTTCGAGACTGGATAGGGAGCACGGCTGTGGATTTGTATTTTTTATAATTAACTAAGACATGTGATCAAAAGCTAATAATTGTAGATTTGATAAAATAGAATGATAGGGGTTGTTTATATATGGTTATGTCTTCAGTATATATATCTATATCTATATATATATATATATATATACATTTTCAGAGGCAAATTAGGAAAAACTGAAAACTATGGGAATCGTGTTAAAGAAGACTTTTATCAATTACTGTCTTAATTCATTCTCAAAAAGTAATTAATTTAAATTTTTTGAACTAGAATTGAATTTATTCACAGCCTATAAATAAAATAATGTTTTTATTCTTGCCATCCTGCCATTGTCATTGCGTAGCAAACATCTTTTTTAAAGGCAATAACTCTTTATTAGTGTGATAATTATTCAAAAAAAAAAATAATAAAAAAGAAAAATAATATAAAAATCAGTAAAATTGCCTCAAAACATTTTAAATAAAAGAGATTTCATCTTTTTCACCTGAAAAATCTTCCTTGTACCATTATGCACCATTTCTTTTGTTTTTGATCTAATGAACACTGCCAAATTAGAAAAGCAAGGCTAACAGAATTGTTAAAGACAGGTTGTATTGTACAAAATCGTATTTCATGCTCGACCTATTATTTTACTCAGTGTTTTTTGTTTTCAATAGACCATTGATTTAATTAATAATATAAATTTTTTAAAAATCAGTTGCTCAATCTTACAGGGCAGTTAGATGAACTTATAGGTTTACTTATATTTTACGTGGTCTCTGGTTATACCAAAACAGACAAAATATTAATTTTTTTTTTTTTTTATTTAATTCTATTCTCATAAAAGTTCAAAATAAATAACAGTATTTCTAATTTTAAAATAAGTGGATTTGTGTTGTGATGCCACAGTACACCAAATGGATGTCAATTTTTCTGATTCCAATCTATATATTTAAACTTGGTACATCAAGTTTGAATAAAAATAACTAGAGATCACTACTTAACAAATTATATTGTTTTTATTCAATATTGTTAAATAATCTTGTAATTTTTATTAAGTATAGTTTACTTATTGGTAGTTGCAGTGCACTCTTTATTAAAATCATTATTTGTCAGAAAGTAATAAATAACTAAACATTTCAAAAATGTTATATTTTGTGTGTGTATCTTCAGATATACATATATGTACAACTGGAAACATTTATTCCAAAAGCAGCTCAGCTTTATAAATTAAATTTTAACTAGCAAAAATTGATACTTAAGTTGTTTAGCTTGGTGGTGAAAGTCTCTTATATATAAAAAAATATTAAAATAAAAAAAGTAAATTAAATGTTTTGTAAATATATATTTTGATATTTATGAAATATATGTTTATATGATAAATAATTATCATATAAATAGGGGAAAATTAATATATGTGTACTTGAGATCTCAGATTCATTTCTATTTGGAAAGTTTCAGCTTATTCTGAGTTTAATTAGCAAGAATTCAAAAAAAGTATAGCATTTTATTTTATAGACATTCACCAGCAAATATCTTTTAACATACTATCACGTGCTCAACGAAAAGAAACTTACCATGTTAAGAGCAAATGAAAAATGTCAATTTTCATTATATTCTTAATACAAAATTAGAAAATTTAAAAAAATCTTTTATGTCTAGGCGTTTAAATTAAATTAAATGTAACAATAAATATTGTAATTGTCGTTTCATTTATATGTCGTATCAACAATAGCAGTTGATCATTCAAATCACTTTACAAATTTTATACTTATAATATCTTGAACAAGTTGTTATATTCATTTCTTTCTTTAATAAACATTTATTTTTTTAAAATAATTTATTTTAATTACAAAAAAATTGTCTCTTTTGTTATTAGAGTAGGTAAATATATTTTGTATTCATATTTATATTTTGGGGAGAAAGATTGTGTATAGCTGCTCAAATTTAAACTTTTGTTGGCGTTCTGGTAAAATGTACAAATTTATATATTCAATGAAAAGTTTCATTTTAGCTGTTTCAATATGAAATACCTCGAAACGTCTTTTTAAAAACTACAAGGCAATAGTTAATGTACAATTTGTTACCTACCTCATCTTGTAAAAAAATTGTCTAATAATATATGCAAACTTTTGCACAGTAAATAATATCTATTTTGATGTGTACAGTCAATTTTGGTAGATTTTCGGATTCGCTCATCTAGTCAGAGCTCAATCAAAAAGAAAGTTCTTGTAGTAATGTCGTAGTGCCGATTATGAATGCATCAATTTGGCACTACGAAGGAAGATTATACTGTTGCATTTGATTTCTGGTTGTATGTTTTCCTAAATTAAAGGGTAGTTAAATAAATGTAAACTAATTGTTGTAAATGTCATTAAAGATATAGATTCCAATAATTGTAAATGAAACTCCATTTGTGCACATTTTGCTCCAAAACAAACTAAACTATATTCAATGTTTGTCTCTTTACTTACAGTTAACTTGACACTATGCTCTGTTAAATGTACGCATTATAATAATGAATGAACGCTTTAAATAATCATAACTGTATTTATTTTTATTTTACCTTTTACAATAAGTACAATATTTACAAACATTATTATTTTCTACAATCCACTTCCCGAATTCATTGCGTATCCTTGACGATCCTGTCATGGACCTCTAACATTTTCCTATGAGTTTCATCTTGATACGACTTTTCCTCGACTTGTTTCATATTCCTAAAAAGTAAGTATTCTTATTAAAGTTTTTGTTCAAAATAAAAAAAAAATAATGAATGATGAAACACTAGAGATAAGAACAGCAATTGGTGACACTGAATCACATTGTTCAAAGTTTATGCTTCAATTTGAACATTGTTTTCTTTATTGAATATTAATACATTCTGCCACATTGAAGGGCATTAATATTAAGGCTACATGATTCATTCACACAATGATTTGAACATTGAAAAACATAACTTCTAAGCACAGAAAGAATTAAAAATTTATTCATATAAAATAAAGTTTTGTTTTTATATATTACTTCACCACATTTATTTCACTTTTACATCTACATCGGCTACGTTTCGGCTAGTACACTACCATGTAACGAGCATGATTAAATAAAATGGCTTACTATTAAATAAATGGGGTGAAGTAATATAAAAAAAACACAGCCTCATTTTATATTATTAAAATACTTCACCTAAAACAAACAACACACATAAAATTTATTCCATTTTAAAAGTCCAAATTTAGGCTTAAAGTATACAGTATAAAGTAGTTTAATAGCCATATAAACAGAATTTTTGGACTAACTAGCGTCGATGAGAAAGATAATGATCAGAAAAGAAATACAGTGATTAGATGAAATACTTATTCCTGTCCTTGAAATTATGAAAGCTTCAATGTTGAATCCACATGAAGCATTTATTCATTACCAAGAGGAGATTAATATAAATTTAAGTTAATAGCTTATTATTATTTAAAATTTCTAAACAAAATTAAATCCGCCAATAACTTATTTACATTATTATAATTATTACATACAAAAATAAATATAAGGATTAGAAGATTGGAATATTTAGTTGGTCAGCTAATCCACGAGCCAAGGTAACAATTCCATTGCATTAGTATGCCATGGTAATTTCAACCAAAATCGTTCAAACTCTCAAAATGCTACCGTTTAAAATAAAATCTCTCAAAGCTAATTTCAGGCACCGAAAATATCTTTCTTTTTATTCTTTGATATTTACTTCTGCATTTCATAGTTGAATCTCAGATTAACACTATGTAAAAATTATAATTCCATTAATATTTAGCTTCCTATTAATATTTTTAAATAATATAAAATATTAAGAAAAAAATCAATCTCAAAATATAGTATTAGTATCAATCTAATAAGAAATACCTCTTTCTATTTCTTAACTGTTCTTCCTGTATCTGGTAAATGTCATCAAAAGTGTGTCCTGTAAGCCTCAAAAGATTTAATGTAAGACAACCTCCAGCAAGGCCAATCATTGAACCTGAAATAATTAAAAGTAATTGATAATACATGAGGTTACAAAATTAAAACGTGATATTTTTTTTATTATATTAACACCAGTTGACCTGTGCCAATAAATTCGTAAGGCATTTAGGATCACAAGTCAATTTCCAGAATGACATTGTACAGGCAATTCAGCGTCAGATTGCCTCTGCGCGAACAGATACTACCGAGGACCAGTTGGGCATTTCAAGATCAGAGTAGTATCCAGAGCCACTATGATCCACCTGTATAAGGCATTAATATGGTCGGTACTCACTCATATGTAGTGGTGAACAAATAAGGAAATAAAATGATGCAACGCATAATAGGATGGAAGAATAAATTCTTATTTTCTCGATAATTATAATAAACCAAGGAAAAATTAATTCAAAACTTCATTCATGATTTAAACTAATATGTTTACAAATTAAAATAAGCTCTATCTTTACTAATAATAGCCTGATTTAAATGATATTGATTTTAAAAAGAAAAACAAAAATGTAGAGTATGATTCGCTTACCCACCAAGAAGTTCTGAATCCAACGGTACCCATTCATGACATTTTAGCATGACAGGGGGTTATATTTGATACAAAACCGATTTTGAGCCTCAATTAAATATAGATTTGGGGATAATAGATATTAATATCTAATAATATGAACAAGATAGTATTGCTTTCATATTATACAAACCCACAGTTCCTCCGACTATCACTCCACGAAGACCATAATTAATCCTGTAGATGGCCCCGCTAACCAGACCTCCAATGATGTAATTGAAAATTGACGGTTCACCTCTGTAAGCGTGTAGAGCCGTCACGAAGGAACTGAAATGTAGAAAGGAACAATATAATGCAGTGATGATTTGTATGATTATAGTTAAAATCATTCATTATATTTATGCGTAACAAGTAATAAAGGAAAGGGTAGTTGACAATATTTGGTGGAAGTACATTCAAAAACATGTCTGATAAAATCTACTGGAGATGGAGGCTAACTCCAGTAATTTCGCAGTTTGTATAACTTAACCTAATGTTTATCAAATGACCGGAAATGTAAACCAAATTAATTGAGGGATTTCTTGTAACAACTAGAGATATAAATATCAAAAGAATTTACCAATATATATGATATTCATATATATCAAAATGGTAATATGATATATCAACGTTAAGATATATTGGGCCTTGGTATATTTAATCTTTGATAGGAAAAGTGATGTAAAGTTTGAACAATAATAAAGAAATATAAATATTTCAGGCTATGATTAACATTGGATTGAGTCTTAGATTTTAAATAGCAACAATTAAATATTTACATAAGGCTTATAAAAAAAACTATGAATTTATTAATATTTGTCAATAAAGAAAACAAAATCTTATTTTTAGGAATTTAAAATCAATCAACTAGCTTAAACATAACAAGAAAAAATTAAGGATTAAACAAAATTGTCAAGAATTCCAGTCAAAATTTATTTAATCAGTTAGCCGATGATCCCACATGTTTGGATTGAAATATTGGAAAACTGATTAAAGAAATTTTGACTGAAATTCCTGATAATTCTGTTTCATCCTTTTAATTCAACAATTGACAAGTTATGCATCTCTAAAGAAAACATTAAAAAGGATGGAAGTAAATCAAAATTAAATTAATATCTAAAAAACACGAAAATATTAACATTTAATATGTATTAAAAAAATTGCCAAGAACAAGAGAAAAATGAGTTGAATTACTCAACATAAAAAAAAGAAGGAGGAAATCAAAATTTAATAATTAATAATTACTAAAACGTATAAAAGGTATTAACATTTTGTTCAAAACCAAAAAACGTATTATTAATATATTTTAAAAAATATCAAAATATAAACAAAATTAATTAAACCAATATTTATGAGGTATTGAAATTAAAAATTTCTAAAAAAGCTCAATTCTATCTGATGACTGCTTAAATATATTAACCTGATTATAGCTTTTCTATTAAACACTTTAAAAAAATTTTTTTTTTTTTGGTTTGGGGAACATTGGTTTTCAATAGTCAAATTTTAATATTGATATTTAAATATAAAAAGTATCAGTCAAAGATATTGATAGATAGAATATCGATATTACAAGATTTTTACAAAAATTTCTAGTAAGGATAAAAAATATTTTAATACAATGTTGCCTTTGGAGAACATTGAAGTTTTAAATAGTGCTCCTCCATGTGGTAAATAAAGTGGAAAAGACTATTTAGTCGGCCAATAGAAAGTCTGTTAGTATTGAAATAGAAACCAGGTATGTCCCAACTTACCTTGTTTTTGACGATAGTAATAAATGCACACTGTACTTCCTTTGACAACAATACAAATGAATGGATACTATCAAGATTAGTTGACAAAAACAAGATTACTCCTACACTAGGTGGTCTTAAGGTACTACTTCGCTGGTACTGCCCACGGCAGCGACTGCTGGTGGTTGAGCACTAGTTTTAATTTTAAAAAATTAATTCTTAGTTAATTGGCAATAATTACTTCCAATTGATAACAATTGAATATATTTCTATTATCAATATTAGATGATAACAAGTTGATGTTTCGGGATATTTACTCCCATCTTCGGAACTACAATCCCAATAATCTTGTGGATGCAAGGCTAAAAAAATGTTTGAGTCAAAATATAGTGCATGTTACATTACATGTTCGAATTTTGTTGTTACAATAAATTTGTAATTACCTTAAAAATAATAATAATGTGCTCCATCGTCAAATTTCTAATTCATGTTATAAAATATATCATCTAGAGCAACATCTTGCTTTTGACCAATAATTGGGTGCCTGCCATAGTGAAATACAACTAACCTTTGGATCTGACTGTTTTTATAATATTGTTGTTAATGTTTATTTTATGTATCTGCTATTTAACTTCTATGAAATTTTAATTTTGTTTAATATGTCCGTATAATGAGTTCTTCAATGTTTAGTGTCTGTTTTGTAGTTGACTGTTGTTCTATTGCTTTTTGTGATGTGTATTGTTTCAAATAATTTCCTATTAGTGTTTTTTGGTTTTGTGCCTATTATCTGTGGTTTATTGAAGTTAAATTTATGCTGTAATCTTATACTGTGATTTGCTGAAACTGGTGTGTTTATGCTTTTTGTATTTTTACAGTTGGTAATATGTTGTGAAATTCTAGTCCCTAATTGCTTGGATATTTCACCAATGTAGATTTTGGGGCAGTTTTGACAGTTTAATTTTTATATAACATTTTTCTTGTTTATTGGTTCTATTTTATCCTTTGTATTGGTGATGTGCCTGCTCAGTTTCTTATTATTATATTGTCCAAGTTTAATTTCTGTTAAGTCATAATTTTTTAACACGTCTTTAATTTTGTTAGTAAGTTCAGGTATGTATGTCATTTTGTAGTAGTAGTTAAAGTCCATTTTGTTTGTTTGTGATATGTTGTCCTGATTGTTCTCGTTTGTTGGATTTGTTTTTTTCAAAAAATTGGGTGATGAATTGTTGTGTAGGTTTCTTTATTGTAATGTTTTCTTTTGGTGTCTTTTGTATTGTTTGTTTTTTGGTTCTATTTTTGTTATGGTTTAGTGTTGTATGTAATCGACTGTACCAAAGTTTATTGATTAAGTTTAGGGTAAAAGTTGATAATAGAAATATATTCAATTGTTACCAATTGGGAGTAATTATTGCCAAATAACTAAAAATATTAGACAACTTCCCAGAAAAAAGAAAAAAGATCTTACTTATTTCTTATTTATTAGTTATACATATTCGTGGCTCACAATAAATTTGCCATCTACTTCGGTATTCAGCAAATAACAAACACACACAAAAGAAAAGATAATGCAGCAAGTAGCTCCATGCAATAAGTCCCTTGGCCAGCGCCTCAGCAGTCTTCTGGAAGGATTATATGGATTTGTGACAGTAGATAGAGCTTGAGTAAGTGGATTGGAATTTAGAGTGAGTCTGTCATGAAAATTATTAAAGCGGTCAGGTGAAAAGATAAAACATTAATATTTTTTTTTAATTTAACGATATTTTAACTGCAAATCTTGACAATTTTTTCCATTCTTATAATATTATTATAAAATTCTGATATTATAAAAAAAAATGCTGGTGAGATCCACAAGAAAAGTTAAACGAAAACTATGGCACAATATTGTTTTGTTTCTCTAAATAATTATAAATTTTCATTTTTTTCTATTTAAGTAATATATTTGTATATTATTTACAGTAAGTGGTTTTGAAATAAAGAATCTAAAAATAATCTTAATAGATTGATAGAGAGGAAATGATAGACCTCCTTAACCAGAGATTGGCAAATCCTACTCTGAGTACCGAGTAGCAAGTAATATATTTAAATTTAATCACTATTGGGAATTCAATCACTACTACAGTTAATCCTTTGACATCAACAGAGGTAGTAATTAAATTCTTTGGTACTCTAAAAAGGTCAGTATTTGAGTAAAATACTTAGTGCTCAATGTGGATTTTGCTCATCTCTGCTCTTAACTGATAATCTTAATATCAATTTCTTTCTATTCGTTCCTGGGCTTGTCTGTAATTTTCATAGCATTTTATTCTAGGTTGCTAGTCTTATTTATTTATTTACCTACTTGAAATTATCTTCAATCAAAGGTCAAAAACACAGAAAAGTATTATCTTCAATATATTAAACAAGAAAACAAAAAAACCCACTAAAATATTGAAATAAACCTTTAGTGACAGACTCGAAAGAGCAATAGGTAGGTCTGGCGGTCTAGTCCTTACATCAGGATTCAAGTCTCCACACATTTCTAAGTGAGTGAACCTGGTAGTTTTATAGACCTTGGTTTAGGCTATATAAATAAACTTAATTTAGATTGCAGTAGAGCTCTAATTTATTCACTGATATTTTAATATGAATTATTACAGCATCATAATTATTGTTATTCCTAGTAATTGCGGTACTTGTATAATAGCAGGTAGCGTCTGACTGCTATCTGCCAATGTTTATAACCTTAACACTGATAACTCTGATAATATCTTCCTATTCATATTTATTGTATTATATTCATATTATTATATATTCGTATTCATATTTATTGTATTGTATTGATATTATTGAAATTGTGAAAAAAACAAAAAAACATATGTAATGATAAAAAAATACTTTTATTTTACAAGATATATATTAAATAGAACAAAACATTATACATATATAATTAAAAAAAAATTGCAATATATATATATATATATATATATATATATATATATATATATATATATATATATATATATATAAATGAAATAATAAAAATAGAGAAAAATAAATGAAATAATAAAAAAACACTTAAACAGCATATGTACATATAAAAGAAACACTATGAAGACTACAAAGAACATATGTACATATAAAATAAGAAATCCTCGACCCCTCTAACCATGTTCCTTTTCTTATAGAAACGGTTTTGTTACAACTACAAAAGCATCTCCAATTAATCTTCCCTTGAACTTCATTTGATGACCATACATCATCACAATATTTCACCTTTGCAAATATTCCGGCATCTTGAAAATATTTGATAGCCTCTTATTCTGAAGATGGCAATTCCCACAATGTGACAAGATCCATAATTAAATAAGACTAACTCACAGCTAACACAAGGAACAAAAAATGAACAAGAGAATAACTTAGGTTATAGGAGGAGATAAGGGAGATTATGTGAAATAAGATTAGATAACAAGCTATCCGCTATTATAGAAGTACCGTGATTGCAATTAATAATGCCAAGAATTAAAGATCATTATTATTATATGTCAGAAATATGAAAATTATGTATATCTCCAAGGAAGAAGTGAGAGGGATACTATTTCACTAAGTTGATTACATATATAAAAAAATAAGTAAATGACTAGAGCTACCTTAATCAAGCATAAAAACTCTGCATAAGTAAAAATTGTCAGTTTATTCCAAAAAGTTGCTAAGTGCTCATTGAATAAAGCTAAAATTTTGAACATTTGTTAAAAATAGTTATACTAAATGTTTCGTTTAGCAAAAAGAACTCATCAAATAACTAGGTGATTTTATTTTCCCTCCTCCTACAGTGAGTAATTTACTATTATTACCATTGGATTGGGAGTTGATCATGTCTACAATGACTTTTGGACTCTCGGGGAGTTTCAGGATACCATTTATTCCATAGTGTGCTCAAAGTGATCTTAAACTCAGATGTCATCCCGGGGTAATGATTCAGAACAACCATTATGACCAAATTACTTATTTAATTTACTAGGACAAAAGAAGAATTTAAAAACTCACATATATAATCCAGTAAAAAGACAGACCCTCCAGCTCCACTTGAAGGCGCCCTTTGCAAAGCTAACAGTGACATAGTTTTGAAGCTCCCTCTAATAAGAAAGAATAAGTGAAAACTATATTTTATAATAAAATATAACTATCTAATAGGTAGAATAAAAACTAACATCAATCAAACATCAAAAATAAGGTGAAGAAAAAGTGTACGTGGCCAAAAACCACAATTTCTGCTTTTAAACAATTATTAAATACAAAACATACCAGCAATTACAGTAAAAGCACTCACATTTGTTAATAAATTAAAGAACCTTAGCGTAACTTCAAAAATGATAAATTTTAGATCTTTAATACACAGTGCCCAATATGTTCAAAATGAATTATGCTCGGTTTTGGTGTTCTTTTGAAACTTCCAAGACACAATATGTACCTTCTGAACCCTTTGACTTAGCTAACATAACAGGAGTTTTATAACCTCCTGCTTTTGTTAAAGGTATACAAGACAAAAACTGATACTCTTCACTTCAATATGAAATTCACTATCCTTTGACAAATTTCTCTCCTGAGAGCTGGAAAAGTGATCTATGCTACTGTATTATATCTTTCCAAATGTATAGTAAGCAAATATTTAACAACAATTATGGCTAGTATTTTGGTTAAGCTGGAAACTGAGCTCAAAGAATTCAAGACATTACCATATTGGTGAAAATACCACTAATAGGAGATAGTAATATCAAATATTATAATAAATAGTTTGGAATTAAAAACCAACCTTCGCTTCAAAATGGTGTTTGAACTTGGTTGCCTCATTTCTCTCAATAAAGTCTAAATAAGCTTTACGGGAAAAAACTATCCCACCATAGCAACCACCAGCAAAGGCTGCAAATATAGTAGTTTGGTAGATATTGGATAGTTCGGGGGTAAATTCACCATATTCACTGAAAACAAAAGTTATCAAATGTTTGATAAAACTTTATTGACAAGTTTGATGTTATAATATAGTGAATGAGGCTCTATTACTGACTCTATTGTGAACACGTTTTTTAATCTGTCCCAGCCAGATTTGTCTTTGCTAACAGCTTGTATTGTGTCAGGCACTACGACCGCAGCACACAGGAGACGACCACTTCTCCAGCAATGCCTCAACATCTCATAAAAGTCTTTCCTCACAACTTCAGCTAGACTTTTGTTTACCGAGGGAAGGTAAAGAATACATGTGATAATAGTGAGGGAGGTTAGCAATCAGTGTCAGCGAGGTCAGGATGTTTCATGATTGACATCATCCGAACTATAGACAACGATAAAAGCATCTATTGGCAAATATTTTCTTTTATAAAAACGCATGTTAAATGATTCAAAAAAGAAGAGGCCCCATTAACCCTATCAAAATCTAGGCAAACTCATGGGTATCTTACTTTCTAATATCTTTCTATACTTATTTCAGGTTTGAAATTCAACTATCCAGTAGGTACTTATTTCCTTACGTTTGTTGTTATTTTACATGTATATAATAGTATTTTAGAAATATTAACCTTCCGCTTGAATCCCGCAAGTCATTGAACCAAATTACTAAACACAGCACTAATTCCATCGAAGGAATTCTCTCAGTCGATTGAATTTAGCATCGAAACACAGCGATTTCTAATGAGTTTAGGAACCATCTGCTAGATTCCAATATATGGGTTACGAAATACATGAAAAATAAAAAATATATCAGAAAATATTTATCTACTGAATAGATTGGTTTTAAAACAGAAATAATCCACCAAAGCCGATGGCACTGCTGAGTCGAACTGCTCGATGATCCAACCGAGGAATAAATAAATACGCTGAATTCCATTTATGAATCCATCTGAGTTTAGGAACGACCTCATGAATTTCCAATCCCCATCAATGTACTCAGCGCTGAATTTAGGAATATGCCCTTCCTAAGACCAGCACAAATCGCTGTCGATCGGTCCTGGATTTAATTGATTGATTAATGTTAAGTTTATAAACTTGCCCTCTCTTATTTATTTAACTTCTGGTATTAAATACTTGAATGACAGTACAGATCGGCGTGAGTCAGATTTAACTGTCAGTTGTCTTTATTTTTCTAAAACATTATTTTGGCATCTTTGTTGACACAATCTAACCATCTTAACCTCGGTCTTCTAGTTGTGAAGAGCTTTTTTAGAATCTACTCTGGATTCATTCAGCTAAAATGCTCGGCCCACCGAAGTCTTTTAACTACAATAAACTGAACTACGACCAGAGCATCATAATAAAATATGATTTCTCTGTTGCCATCAACAAATGCCATCTTTACACAGTGATCCGAGAACTCTACTTATAAATAGTCGCTGGAGCATCACTATCATTTGTTTCTTCATGCTAATAGCGAAGTATAAATGTCCTTGAAGATACTGCCTGACTTTGGAACCTTGCAGGTTCAGACATATGGAACGCGATCTGTCCCGTTGATCTGTGATCTCTTTCTCTGTAGCGCTGGGTCTGTGTGTATGTGATAGTAATACAATACCACATACAGTGTTATAATTAGACCACCAAATAGATCGGGACCAAGGTCTATAAAACTACTTATAGACCTCGGTCTAGGACAACTATGTCATCATACTGCCGAGGCAGATTGTGTGTGTCCGAACATTAAAATTGGAAATTTCTTCAACGTTAATCTTTGCTATAAACTGATTTTTAGAATGCTCCAATAATCGTGCTACCGACCTGTTATTTATAACGAAAATGATCATATCAATTAATTGCATTTGGAATACAAATATTTGTCCTACAATAATTCGTGTTTTAACTTGGAGAACGCTTGATTTCTATTGTTCTTTTGCTAGTTTTATAATTGAACCTCTTTGTATTATGCTTTTTGAGCCTTCGTCGGCTGTTTTTTTGTTTTGTACAAGATTTGTGATCTCTATCTTGTACCTTAATTAATTTCTTAACAATGTGGTATGAAATTTTGCCAACTATAGCAATTTTAGCCGTTGGAATTTCTTTTGCTCCGACGTTTGGTTTCTATTTGTATAAATTTACGCACAATGGGAATGTTGGTATTTATTAGTATATATCGTTTTTTATAGTTATTCATAGGCATATTTAAATCTTGTTTATATGTACTTTCTATTCTTATTTCAGCCTTACAGGCGTGACATACGGACACATCCGTTTGATAAAGGACTGCTTCATAGAGATATCTACTTATTCAAAAATCCTTATAAGATACAAGTAAGTTTTTATCGAGCTAGAACAATTTATCTACAAATAACAGAATTACTGCAATAATGTCACGCAGTTTTCATAATATAATTTTAAATCAATATCAAGGAATCGTTACCTTTTTCTTGCTTAACTGTTTTACAATGAAAAATTTAAGCATTAAACAGGTTTAAGCCTAGCTAAAGTTCATTCATCGAGATTTATAAAGGTCTTAATGAGCTGTTAATTTTATCCGCTATCAGTTAATCACTTAAAATGTGTCTATTTAAAGCCACCTGGGCACATTAAGGTTAAGTCAATATAATATACAGTGGTGGCAGAAAGTATTTCCACGCTCCGTTTTTATATGATTGAGTTAAAATTGAGTTGGTGTAATGAGTTAAAAACTTCATTAAACGTTACAAATGTAAAAGCCTTTCATACATAAGAATTATAAAATCTCTTAGCTCAAACAAAAATGAATATATGTGTTTGTAAAAAAATTATGAGAACACTTAGGTTAGGTTTGTTATAAAAAAGACGCAAGGAAAGAAAAATATATTATAACATCAACATATCATCCATACAACTGGAGTCCAGGTTAATGATGGGATTAGATCTTTGATGAGTTTCTGGAGGTCCTCGAAAACAGCTTTCCCTTGTCGTATTACATCGATCCTCTGTTGACTTATTTCTTCCAAAAGCAGAGCTAGAGCCAAACTCGTAGAATGTGTGAGGCGAAGAAATGGAAGATGGCCGCGGTAAGACAGTACTAACTCCTAAGAGGAAATACAGCTAGGGAAAACTTTAGCTATACATCTAGGGACCACCCTAACAACACAGCTAGGGAACACTCAATATATCTAGGAATCACTCAAACAATACAGATAGAGAAAAGTCTGTCAATACATTTATGGAACACCCTATCAATATACATAGGAAACACCCTATGAATACAAATAGAGAACACCCTATGAATACAAATAGAGAACACCCTACGAATACAACTAGGGAACACACTGTCAATACAAATAGAGAACAATCTATCAATGCTCCTATAGAAAACGCTATCAATACAGCTATGTTTTTACCAAGTGCAGCGATGCCTTGGTAAAAGTTTCGGAAGAGGATTTAATGTTAGCCTTTGTTTAGACTCCCTGGGTTATATGAAGGTACGAACCATGAACCCCATGTAGACAAGCCAGCAACGATGACCGTTTATAATAGAGTGTTACTGGGTACGCCCTCTCTTGATGGCCCAAAAAAGCAGAAAATCGGGTTAGCGACTTTGCTACGAGTCACCAAGCCGGACCGTGCTTCATAAGGTGGTGCAGGTCTGATCATGAGGCAAACCTCTCAAACTCTTCCTGCGGGAATACTTATTAAAGAAGATGTATAAAACTCAAAGTACAATAGGACAAATAAAAGGCTTTATATTTATATAGACAAATTTAAAGTGATTAATTGATAGATAATAAAATTAACAGCCCACTAAGTCCTTCGTAGAACTAGATGAATGAACTTCAGATAGAAACGAATTTGAAAGTTTAGAATATTCATTGTAATAAAAGATTTACTATTTTTTCAATTATTCATATTTATTTACCTTAGTCCGTGATATAGACCCTATCCATCGAATTATTAACTACCACCAGAATAGTTTCATCTCATCGTAACCTACAACTATTTTATTTATGAAAACTCTTGGAATTGGGGCGTTTTCAAACTGGAGGGCGGTAAACTTTGTCTATTTAATTAGGTACTAAAAACTCGTAAATACACATTTGATTTCTACTTGGATCGTAAGATAATTTGATCACCAAGTCGGAAAAAAAAGGTGGCCTTCAAAAATATTGAGGCTTTGGCTTGACATACAACTCAGTAAAGATTGAGTTTTTGAGATTTTTTGGTTTCCAGATGCCGTTCGCATCCTAAAGTCGTTTTAGATGATATAATTAAATTCTACATAAAAAAATCGACACTATGGATTCAACTTCGGAAGATCGGCGCTCTAATTCAAAAAAGGTTTGAGTGTTTTTACCGATTCGCTAGTTTAGCATACACCCGACGATATATTGTTAAGAATATATTTTATGAATGAATAGCAAACTGTTCCTGAATTCCTTTCATTATATCGAAAAAGTTTAAAAAACGTCATATTTACAATTACCTTGTAGCATCTGTAATCCTGTTTGTTGCCATTTTGGATATCTGTTCGCCAGATTGAGAAAGGAGCTGTTTTTCCGATTGGTCCGCCTATATCTGTATTTTGACGCCCAAAGTTCTACTTTAAATTAAATAGCAGGCTTAAGTTTGTGGATGTTTATTTTTAGAGCACAACTTGCCTACACTATTATATTTGGCAAAATATTTACATTTACAATTATTATGTACATTATAAAAGCTGTTTGTGGTAATACTTAGTAAGTGTTTTCAATTGTTAGTCATTTGGACTAACTTACTAGTAATCGTCTAAACAGCGAGTGAAATAATAACAAAAAATGTTTATATGTCTATAGGGGCTGAACAATATTCCAGATGAAGATAAACCTGATGCCACTGGTTCTGATAAGAAAAAAGATCCCTGTAAATGTTAATAACAAGTAATTTTTTTTGTTTACACAATTTTTTTAAAGGCATTGTAATTAATGAATAAAGAAAATATTTGAACTTTTGTAATCTATTCTGATTTATCCAACACACTAAGTGGTAACTTACATGAATAACGGATAAATTTAATGTTCAGCTTAGAGAGTTTAAGTACGGGCACAGAATTTAAATAGATGCCAATGATTTTTGACAGAGGTGAAAATAAACGATTAGTGCAAACTTTGAGAAAACAAAATATTATCTTAACTACAAACAAAGTGCAAACTTTGAGAGAACAAAATATAATATTTGGTTCTCTCTCCCACACGAGTCTCGATTCAAGAACTTCCAGAAAATTACGTTTGTTCGTATATAAGGAAAAAGCCAACATTTAT